CTCCCGCTTTTGCGGGTGCGCGCCTCGCGCCGCGCTATTCCGCGATCCGCGCACATTTCGCGCGGCCGGTTTTGGAGATCGGCACGTTTTTCGAATCCATATAGGTAAAACCTGTCGCGACTGCTAGACTCGCCTACGTGTGCGCGCGCCCGAGTTGCCCGGAAAGACGCGCCCGAGACCGACGGGGTGACGTCGTTGACGAATACAAGAGCGTTTTGGAAGCCCTCGGCATGTTAAAAGCTGCCGGAATTTTAAATCAATTTCGATAACAAAGGGATACTGAAATACTGCACTCTTTAATTTTATACGGAGAGAATTTTCTCTTAAAATTTACCCTGAAAATCGTAGGACAACATGGCATTTTGAAGAACTTTATATAAGAATTTTCTTAAATTTTACTAGTAAAATGTATAGTAAAATTTCAAAAAACTCTCATAAAATTCTTCCAAACGCCATGTTGTCCCACGATCGGACGATTTTTCCAGGGTAATTTTAAGAGAAAATTATCTCCGTGTATGAAATAACCGCAAAGGGTTACGTTTCTACACTTGAAGGAGCGCACGCATCGGCCACGAGGACGTTTTGTGAGGACGAATCCAAAGGATCTGTCAGAAACCTGCGACGGCGACAATGTAACGCGTTCGCAGCGTTCATACATTGACATTGACACCGTTTCCCCGATATATCGGGCGCATTATGCATTAGCCCCGAGATTAATGCGCATGTTTTGGTCCCAAGGTCTCGATAACTTCGAGATCTACTTGCACAATTTACCGCGGCCGCGCGGAATCGGATCGCCGTCAAGGAAAGCGAGAAAATTATGATCGTAGACGGAGAGAACGGCGCGTAATAGATATATACATTTCGTATGGCTTTCTATTGTCGATTTGTACGAACGTGCGTACCGCTTGTAAACAGCATCTCGATGTTATCGCGCACTTTTGCGTACATTAGCCCCGATTACTGGCCGCACTCGATGAAAGTTCGACGAACGGATCGATGATCATCGGATAACAATCCGCGGGATAATGCTTGAATTTATAAAAACAAAGGAGATAACAGGGCTAGTGAAACAAGCTGATTGTAGTAGCACACACGTGCTGCACTGACAATTTTCCCCTAAAATTTATCCTGAAAATTGTGTAATCGTGGAACAACACGGCACTTTGAAGAATTTTATGAGATTTTTTGAAACTTCACCATACATTTTACTAGTAAAGTTTTAGGAAACTCTTATAAAGTTAAATCCCACGATCGCACGATTTTCAGGGTAAATTTTAAGAGAAAATTCTCTTCGTGCAGATACACATTGTAAGTTAGTTGAAGAGAAACGATAAGACAAACGTTTCGGCTTGAAACAAGGTCATTTTCAGTGCGCAATAGTAGAGGCAACAATTACAATAAATAACTCGGTAGAAAGTCGGGTCGTAAAATATAAAGAAGCACTGAAAGAAACTTAACACTACTTGCAGTTTTGGCGGCAATAGAAGAATGCACTGAATAAAGAAAGCCTTTTCAAGAGTCTCTCGATGTAGGATTAAGAGTGTTGCTTCTAACTCTTACGGTTAAATATTTATAAAATGTGTAAACTGTAAGTGACTCAATTGTCAGTCATGAAAACAACTTTTTAGAATTGTTTAAAGCTCAAATAAAGTCTTTATAAATGTTATATTCACATTTAGAAAACTGAGACTCTGTTAAAGTTCGACCTTATCGTCGTGTCGTGTTTTAAAAGAGTAAGTCAAATGACTGATGCCCATTTCTAGCAATGTGTTTCTAGCAATGCGGATTAATCCCTGTTTAGCTAAGTTTTTATCTTTTTCCAATTCCTGAAACTAGAAAAAAGATAAAAAAAGTAAGTCAAACCGAAATTAAAGTCAATCTGCATCTGCATTGGCGATTAGTCGATAAACCGTCATTATGTGTGTCGCGTAATCTCCGGCGACGCGAGAAACGAGCCGGCATAACAACCGTCGTAGAGAGCGATCGTTCAAAGAACTAATGACGGCAACGATCCCGGGGCACTGTCGGCGACAAATAGAGCAGATCGTCATATCGTTGACTCATTCGCTCGCGCTGTCGCAATCACCGGACGAATCGTTACCGATTTGTCAAAATCCCGGGGGGAGGGGGACGCTCTATCGATGTCCTCTCGCGCCGCTAATTAATCATCGCGAGCGATCGACCGTCGCCATTTCAGGCCGACCTTGCGCGCGCGCGCGAGAGGACGCGCGGATCCACGCTGGAGAACGCCGGTGGAACGCCGAAGGAACCTCGGCATTTCGGTTGCGCGAATGAATCACTTTACATGCCGAATCTGATGCCGCGGTATAAGGCGCTCGGCTGGAACGCGCCTCGCATTTGCATATTAACGATCTCGCGCGCTATAAGAATGAGCTTCTGAAAATGCACGTTCGCGCGATCGGAACGTACCTACCTACTTGCTTATCGCGATGGCGCCGCTCGGGGATAAAAAAACAACACGCGGATATTTGCGAGGCGAGACCGTGGCCGGGAAGTCGCGCGGTTGAATCGAGAAACCTTTTCGGCCGCACTTGAATTTTCGCGGGAGTATCCCTGGTAGAAATGTCATGCAGTTTTGTAGCAGTTACTAGACAAAAGTTAATACAACTACTTGGAATCTCAATCAAGATGCAACGCCTTTCGTACGGTTGCTGCACGTAAAAGATGCGCAAAATCTGAACCCAATTACTGAACAAGAACGAAACAATGACAAGTTGTCCCACACGGAAAGAAAAACGTAGCTACCGTAGCTAAGAACTGCGTGTGTGGCAACTGAATTCAGTTGTAAAATATGAACAGCTAATATTTAGCCGTGGTAGCTAAATATTTTGCTACTCTGCCTATTGTATTAGGTGCGACAGCACGCAGCTGTCTGCGGTTTAGAAATTTATAGTTACGGCAGCAAAATATTTTGAGCAAATCTGTATACAGTCGTCTGCATCTTTCTCAAGTTATACAACGCTGCAGCCAAGTCCCTTAATGTCCCTGCGACATTTTTACTCCCATATAAAAGACAGCCGTTCATTTTGACGTACGCACCGTGGAGAACATCGATGATAATCGCCTCCGCCAAGAGGATTCCTCGGCGCTGCTCGTTTGACATTTTCGGCGTGACGTTTCGCAACCGCCACGCTACGCCTTTTGACGCTCGGCGCTCTCGGTTTCAGCATCCTGAAAGTGATAAAAGACGTGTCGGCGCAATTATTCTATAATACGTACAACGGAGCGCGTGCTTCGGAAAGGTCTCAAGGCAGCCGCGCGCTTTAATGGGTTAATGGGACGTTAATCTCCGTCTCCGGCGCGGCGATATCTCTGATTGGACGTGCGCCATCGTGGCAGAGATACACAATGTTTACCCACTCGGGCGTGTGCTCGGTTGTCGCGTATGCGCTCGTCGTTTACAGTGGCTTCGCCCCGCCGATTCTCGCCTCCTACTGCCCGATGCCCCGTTCCGACAGTCCCGGCGTAGCCTAGCGAAGCCGTTTCGTCCGCGAGGAAAAAATTCTCTCCCACGTGCCCTCCGTAGGCGCTTAAAGCGATCTAATAAAATAGTGGAAATATCCGATGTCTCCTTCTTCGATATTTACTCGAGCGCCGCTTAGCCTCGGATATGAAACTGTAAACGATTTTGTTCGCGAACTGAAATTCTTTCGGAATGATGAGTCTATTCAGGAATAATACGAGTCTAAAGCGCAGATTTGCTGCGACAATAGAGTTGCCCTTTTCTTTATGCATTTCTAACGGTTTCCAGCTTCCCAGCACATGAAAATCTTTTCGGTGTTCGTGCGACAGTTGACAACGTAATGAGAATCCAGGTCTATTCGAGCGCTATTATAAATAACGTCGTATCGTCAGAAAGCATCGATGTTTAAATAGTCAAGTAATTTCTACCCGCCCCTAATTATTATCCGAATTAATGCACCGTAACAGAGAGATATTCTTCGTGCTCCTCCGATTGTGAGCAGCCTCTATCATCGTTTTAAAATTCCAAAAGAAATGAGAGCCTCCTCCCGTATCAGGCATTGGAGATTGAGGACCGCGAATAGGAGATAAGAATTCATCGAAACGAAACGGATTAGAATGAAGTTCGGACGAGTCGAGATCTAATCAGTCTGCGATCCTCGATCTCCAGCGTGCAATCTGATATGCAGGCCTAAGGAGCGCGCTGAGAAACTTCGTAATGAATAATCCAAACGCGCGTCTGTCCCTATTCAGCAACTCTCGCGAATGCTATTCGCACTTTCGTGGCAAGCCCTGGTCCACTTAAACGCGCATCGTCCGGGACGTTCCTTTTTAGGAGACCGCAGGAGAGGGAGGGAGAGAGAGAGAGAGAAAGAAGAGAGGGAGAGGAGGGTCCGCACTGACCCCCCGAAAGTTTCGGCGACACCGATGCGCCCGGATCCTGTATTTGTCTCTCGAGGCCGCGGCGTTCGAAGAACGTCCGTCCCAGGCGGCAGCGGCGTACCACGCACTCTGGGGCGCCTCACCTGCTAGACTCGAGCCTGAGGTGCCCCAGGTGGATCCGTCAGAGAGTTACTCGACGGCCGGACAGTATCGCGAGCGCTGGCACGAAAGCATGCGGCGCGAGTCTCGTCGAGTACTTTCGTTCCGCGCGTCGTAAGCGACGCGCTTACGTTCGCGCTCGCTCGCTTCCTTCGAATCGCTTCCCGTCACTGAGACTCGAAAACTTGACTCCTCGCGGCACTTCGCCCGGGGAGAGACTCGTCGGTCTTCGGGAGACTCTGTCGCGCTGATTTCCGCGAGGACTTCCGGACTTGTCGATCCGCGAGGACCAGGCGCGAACGAGCGGAGAGTGCATGTGTGTGTGCGCGCGCGTGGGTGAGTGTAAACAATCGGCGCATTCCTCCTTACTCTTGCTCGCGCTCCTATCTTTCTACCGAAAAATTTCACTCCCCGTCCCGACGTCCTATACGCTCCCGATCTCTCTTTCACGCGCGGCGCGGCGCCGACGAGTTACACGCGCGTGCATCTCGCGTTTCCGAGAAAGGATCGGCCGAGCGCGGCTTTTCCTCGCGATATTACGCGAGTGGCATTGTCAGCCTGTTACATAACGAGCCGCCGCGGCAGCAGCGATGAGAATCTTCCCAGTGCGCGACGGGGTATCCGGCTGTTTGATAAACGCGCGGGTTCATCGATTTCGGAGACGCGCGGCGCGGCGCGGTTTCCCGCGACCCGACCGTTCAACCCGTGCCCGATAACGATCGCGTCGTCGCCGCCGCCGCCGCGAGTGTTCGACCTCAGGCTGTATTTGGCGTGAAAGCCAAGGTGCCCGGTTGATAGATCGTCAGTGTCGCGAGCGGGCCTAAAATGGATTCGTGCGCGATCGAACGAGCCCGCTTCGTATTTTCAGCCAAAATGGCGACGTCCTTGGCGAGGTCACGTGTCCAGCGTCGCCGTCCACTTGTTAGCCGCTCTCGCTTAAATCGCTGCTTTTCGCGCGCGTCTCGCCACGCGTTCAAGTCACCGCGACGACGCGCCCCGGCCACGGCCCCGCGGAGACTCCAACGTCCCGCCCGCGCGTGCCTTATCCCGATCTGTTTCTTCCATTTTCTTTTCTTTTTAACGAACGCGAGTTTCGCCACCGTCGATTAACGCTAATTTAATCTCCCGCCGGCCGCGCTGCGTCCACGCAAAAGCAACTCAAAGTTAATGAGACGTTAGTGAAACCTCGACGCTTTCCGAAGAGATGCAGGCGTGCATCCTCGACCGTGGACTTGTTTCTTCGGAGCATTGCGTCGTACATGTCTATTGAAAGTTTACCTCAAGTCTTGAAAACTAAGCCTTTTTATCAAGCATATTAATCCCGCGTACGATTTGTGAGAAATTTGTGACAAGTTCGATGAAGATTTCCGCATTCCGCGGATGTCGTGAAATTATGGAAGAAATTGTGAGAAATGTGTTCGCGTAATTGAATTACGTATGCATCAAGGGCTGTCTTCGTTAAAGAAACACGGCAGAATTCATGCGGACAACTTATAAGGAACAAAAAATTATCACTTAATAATAAGACGCAATTCAATGGCCCATCAAGGATAATTATTGCTCTTTTTTTTTACCGTTGCCCTCGCGAGTTCATTCTGTTGTGGACAAAGTGCGTAAAATGTCACGGACTTCTCGAGCTATTCGCTTTTACGCGCTGACGCATCCGTGACGTCACACGCATATCCAATAAGGTGAGACCGAGATGGTTGTACGGCGGATTACCAAAGAAGCATGTTGTCAATGCAAAGCGCATGCTTGTCTTCTTAGATCTATTCATGAGATCTGAAACGTTTATTGGCGCGACGTGACGTCGAGACGGCGGAGAAGCGGAGAAATAAAGGAATGTTAACTTTTAAATACCTTTAAACAAGATAATCTCTAGGCGTGCACGCGGCACGTTGAGCGCGCGGAAAAATTTGGACAATCAAATTTAATTGTTACAAAATTTGACCGGCTTATCGCAAAATTTTTGGCTACTCTCTTGATTAATTGTACGATGTAATAAGCACCGTAATTATAACGTCGCGCAATTAAAGGACTTATAATTAGCAGTACTGGGTAAGTTAGGCATCGTGTAGCGCATTAAAAGATTATACAACAAAGCTGTACTTTGTATACACACCGCAGCGTCCTATAAAGTGTTGAAAAATTCGCATTAAGCGCATTTAATGTGCAGTCGTTTTAAAACCACACTTTACGATCGTAGATCCTAAAGGTAGGAAAAAATCTAAATACTTATACGTACCTGTCCATAGGCTGAGGTGGGGCGAACGCGTGCGTAATTCCAACCGCAAGGACGCAACTGTTCAGAGGCGTAGGCAAAGCTCCTTTTGAAACAGATTAAATTGCTCCGTTCATGAATCTCTCGTGATGAAATGACGATTCAGATGACGCCTACAAATTAGAACAACGAAATATTACAGAAATGATACGCAATCTGACTTATTAGTAATGGTTGCGATTAAAAAAATCTAAATCTCTGTAAAGTTTTCTGTTTTAATATTCAGATACTTAATTATTTCTCATACTAATATTGCCTGTCATTTTTAATACCAAGGAGAAGGATTGTATTCGTTCTACCGCCAGTACCCCACTTTCTGCAGTTTCTGGAATTATTATTCCGAGAGTCGCAACGAGAAATTAATCGTTCTCCAATTACACGTTAATTATCCTTTCGGACGAACAGACAACTCAATTCGCGCGGAGTCCCCGATCAAGGACTGCTCGTAGGAGAAGTCATCATTTACGCTAGGGTGACCAGCCTGTTTCTTTTAACAACAACGTCGTGTCAAAATTTTTATAACGACCGCGAGGAGCCGGAAATAAATTTTATTTTTCGTATCAATATGAAATTATGAAATACGAATACTTAAGACAAAACGTTCTTGGTTCATAATTCTTTTATAACGAATCAAAATTTATTGATGTTAAAAATAAAGATTGTTTAACATAAAATAAGAATACTTTGTCTTATGCTTTATTCTTATTTTATAATTCTCTTGTAAATCAATGAGTCAATAAATTTCAATACTTTGTCTTAAGACAAAGCATTCTTATTAAACAAATTTTATTTTTAATATCAATAAATCTTGATTCGTTATAAAAGAATTATAAAATCTGAATACTTTGTCTTAAGGCAATGTATTATCTTATTTTATATATTTTTCTTGTAACAAATGGAAATTTATTGACAGACCGGATTCGATCGGCGGACCGTAGATTCGGGACTCCTAACTTACGCCATTGATGTAGGACATAGAGCAACCGGCCGTGCGTGGTGTCTTTAGCCATCTCGATATCGTATCGCGCGTACCATATCGAGGTGGTCGGGACCACAGGCCCGCGTGCCACCGCGGCCTTCGGCTTCTATCTCTTTCTCCACGCGGAGCGAGCTTCCCGATGAATTATTGCAGGTCCGCGAGCTACGTGTTCCTCACATGCGCGTCGACGTAGCGGAAGAATGAGAAGAGGGATAGTGCGCTCGGGGCGGCAGGACTAATATCTCGTATCGAATCCCGTATTACCGAGGGGACGCTGACGGTTTCCAGCGTCACCGTGAGATCTCACGTGTACAACGCCGGACAAGCATAATTATTAAAACATAATTCCCCCGAAGATCCTCGCGCAGCAGCGATCAGAGCGCGCATTTCTCTTTGATACTTTGGCCCTCCCTCTTTATTCCCTCAATCAAAGCCTTTTTCGTCCTTTACCGTTTTGATTAAAGTAACAGCAACGTTATTTTTCTACCGAAGAAGGCATCTTTGACCAAATCGTTCATTTTTATTGACACTGCTAGCTTCAGCTTTTCCGATCCCTTTATGGTTATGCAAATTAATTAATCGATATATAATTGTAATAGAGCGTAAGCGGAAACGTTGCTGCTCACTCGGCAGCTGAGTTCCTCCCCGCAACGACAGTCCGAGTAAGTCGACGGGAACATCAGGACTACGTGGCAGACATGATCGAATAATGGAGGTGATTTCGACACGCCGATACGAGGCCCGTCCACCGGCGAATACCCACTCCTCTATTCTCGTGAGTAACATTTTCTCCGGCCTCTTCAGAATGCATTTTCCCAGATACCCGCGCGTTTCTCCTTCAGAGTTCACATTCTCGCGCCTACATTCGCGCCCGTTCGAAAAATCCGATGTACGATACGTTGCCGAAAAAGATCCAATCGTTTACAAGCAAGTTCGTGAGATCAGCGTAAATATTTGGAGGAGAGATAAGAAGTAGAGTTGGTCGGACGGAGGATCGATCAAAATTTATCGAATAAGAAACTTCACGCCATGATAAATCCGTGAATCTCCGTCAGTTTGTTGTTCGATAAATTTCTGTGTACGATTAACGACTTAAATCTCCGGCGCATTAAATGTTTCCCATTAATTATTCCTGATTGACTGTAATTCGCGTAATTGTGTCGGACGCAGTCCCCCGCGAGTCACTCGCGCGTTTATTCGCCAGAGTCGATCTTGCGAACGATCTTACTCCACGTTAACGTCCCTGTCGGATCGGAATCTGCCGGGTGTCGGTCAGGAGTTTAGTCGCGTGTAACATGGAGTAAGAAAGCGGTTACGGCGAAGTTATTTGCGGTAGACGTACTTCTCGCGATACGTAACTTCCCCGGAATGTCCTTAGCCGAAAGGAATCGCTTCTCCGACGCTCTCGCTCGTAGGCGGATTTACATACGTACTGTTTCCTTTTGCAGGTTGACCCTGAGAACTCCGTGGCATTAATCAAAGAAGGTAAATTCCTCCAACAGAAATGTTAATCCACGAGCGAAAACGGTGATCTGTCGGCCATTTATGCCGCCAGGGTGCAAACTAGGAATTTATTAAAACGACAACAGCGTCACACAATCAGAAGAACGGGAGAAGAACAGTAGACATATTGTTGCGCGCGATAAAATAACAAATAGACATACATTTTCAATTCATTCCTAAGGAATTGTTTTAGTGAAATATTCCTCCATCTCTTTATAATCTTGAGGATTAAAAACTTTTGCCTTTCAAGACGCACTAACGGCGTGAAGAGAGACTGAATACTATGAGCCGCCAGACCGACAAGTTTCTAGTATTTGAATGGCCCAGATCTATACCTGCCGAACCCTCGTCTTTCGGTCAAATAAAAGATTAGATATCTATGCTTTTAGGAAAAGTATATTAACTCGGAGGATCCCTTTCCGTCAGTCGTGATGGTTCTATTTGGCAAACATCACGATCGCAAAAATAACTGTTTACCCCGGGCACATAACTGTTTTTACGTTGATGCGGACGCTTGCAAAGGCGCGATAATTCACAGCGGTGTCGACAGAGGCACAAAAGACCGCCTTCGCCCGCCGCCATCGTCGACTCATCATCCGCGTTTTATGTCCGTTTGTTCGGGACCGAGAAATTAGTTTTGCGAAACAATGCCGGTGTTGCGAGTCAGCCTGAAAAATACCCGTTTCCGCCTTTCAGAGGAATGGGAGACCCGCAAGAAAAAGGAGATTACCACCACGCGGCAGATCGAGACGAGGGTGAAGCGGCAGGTCGTTCTCGAGGACGGCGAGGTCGTCGTCGATTCCGGGCCCCTCGTCACCACGAACACGACCGAAGATGTCGAGCAACAAGAGCACACGACTCAGGAGGTTCGCACGTTTCTTGTATACACGGAGAGAATTTTCTCCTAAAATCTACCCTGAAAATCGTGGGACAACTTCGTGAGAGTTTTCTGAAATTTTACCGTACATTTTACTAGTAGAGGAAAGTCCTGTATTACGAGATAGCGGAGTTTCTGCTAAATTAATAGGCATCATCTGTTGGTTCCACCATGAATTTATTGCCCCCGGAGTGAAGTCTGTTTAGTGGAAAATTGATAGATCGTGCAATCGTTGCGGAAAAAGATTTGTGATTGAATTTCGATGTTGAAAATCTGCTATCTCATATATAATATGGGACTTCTCTGTATAGTTCAAATTGTCCCGTCATTTCTACAAAGTAGTCAAGAAGATCGCAGATCGCGTTTTAGTTGTAGTATAATTATCGCGAGACGAAAGACGTAACGCGCAACAATTGGAATTTTCTTCCTCTTTTCGACACGCGTCCATTGTTCATTGATTCTGCATACATTTGCGTATCAGAATCGGCTGCCTTTGTAGTATCGCGCGCGGGCGCGCGTACGGTAACGTGCTTTTAACTGGTCCGCGAACCGGTGTTTAGAGACGCACGACCGGGGATCAACCGCGGGAGGTCGACTGGCTGCCGGCGGCAGGTGGTACCGAGGCCGGAAATGGCGGTAACATCGTGCAGAAGGAGCTGAACGAGACGGTGATGAGGAGCCGCGAGGAGATCGAGGAGAGACTCGAGACGGAGGATCGTCAGCAGTTGGGAGATATCTCGGATGAGGTATATATGCACCCGCGACACACCCACCACCTGAATTCCACCTGCGCGTGCCGCGGGGAACACGGCCGTATGAGCATTCTCTTTCCCGGCGTCGCGCTCGCGAAAAGGTCGCGTTTGTTCTCCAAAGACTCGTCCCGTCTGATAGCTCGCGCGAGTCGACGTGTCTTAGCTCGGCGAGATTCGGTCCGCGCGGCGCCAGGTATTCGCTTCGCGTCGATTGCGAAATCACTTGCGAAGCCGAAGAAAAGAGGCATGTTTCGCAGAGCGATATTTCTCTACGGGAGGTCTTGACGTCGCTCGCGGAAAATTAAGGGGCCAGAAACGCTCCGAGGAAGATCCAAGTGTCGTAAAAAAGCTTCTTACGCTGTATTTTTTTCTATACAGATTTTAAGGGCCGAGTTTTTATATAGCGGTCAAGAAACGTCTTATGTTTGGATTGAATGTTCGAAGCGAAAGCAAAAGATGCCTCGCTGGCCGAATTGGTGAGACGCATAGAATGTAGGGAGGTTCAGGTTCGAACCCTGGCCGAGGTAATATTTTTCGCAATAAATTTTCTGTATGGTCAAGAAAACACTGGCGTTAATTTCCGCTGGCGACATTGAAGAATATTCCGATTAGTCGAGATCAAAAGAATTTCTTGCTGATAGTCGAAAAAGAATCCCATTGTACCTTCGTTTACTTGTAAAGTAACATGTCAGTTTTCGATGGCTATTTTATCATTGCGTTCATTTCTAACGATAATCGCGGGCTGTAAATTAAGAGTGTTAACTCGACGTTTACGTTGACACGATAATAGTAATAGATTGTGTCACGTTCGAGTGTCATAATAACACACCGCGCGTTTAACGCGTTAATGCGGATAGACAAGCCTGAGAACAGCTCGGGATGCGGAAAAAAGCTCTCACTCTCCCCCCGATACCAATCTACGCGGCGTGCAATCGGATCCACGTAAATCTCAACGAGGTTTCACAAACCTCGCGGGGATACCAGGGGAGAGGAGTACCCGGATTGCGAAAGACGGGCAACAGGTATATAGAGAGGAGACGCTCTCGCGCGCATGAACGATTCAGGAACGGAGGAGGTCGAATCGTTCTGGGACGAAGAGGACGAAGGAAGGACGGAGTTAAACGGCGAACGCGGCGCTGACGGGACCAAGAGAGGGAACGGGAGAGCGAGGGAGAAGGGGATCGCGAAAAGCGAGAGACAAAGAGAAAGAGAGAGAGAGAGAGGGGGGGGGGGAGGGAAAGGGACCTCAAGAAGTGGAAGTCGATGATCTCTCGATTTTGCTCTCCCTTCACCCAATGGCGATGAAGGAGCCATGAGATGCCCGCAGCCGCAGTCTCAGCAGCTGTTCCGCACGTCTCTCGACCGCGGGTGCGATCAGCCGCGAATCCGACCGCGATAGTGTCCCGCGCTCGTTCTCGTCGGCGGAATCGGCGCGGGGTGTCGTCCCCGCTGGAATTCGCCGGTATTCGTCCGCTCCCCTTGTGTGGTCCTGATCCCTTATAATCTCAAGATTCCTCGCCGTCGGGCGGGACCAGTCGTCCTCGCGCCGAGAGACGCCGGGGCCGCGCTGCTCCGCGGGGAAAGAGAATCGCCTAATTGGACGCGACGCGCCGGCGGGCCGTATCGTGTCTCTCCAACGAGATAATCGCAGAAGGTATAATCGCATTGTCGCGATCCAAGTTGAACGGACCGCGGACTCGCCCCGAAGTGCACAACGCGCCCGTTGCAAGTAGATCGGGACACTGGTCCGATTCAAAGTATAGTGTCGCGCGGCGAACAGTTTTCCCGGTGTGTATCGCAACACTTCGTCATGCTCGTCATCGTCCTCGGCGTGCTCCGATACTGAGTCTCGTTCTTTCGACGGGGGCCTCGGAGCAGCGATTATGTCGTGTCATCGTAAACCGGCACTTTGCGGAATTTTTAATTTATTTGTCCGACGACACGCACGGGCGCATCTCTTAATACGTAACCGCGCGACATGTAGATTTCACCTCGGTGGGATCGCGGAAGTTGATACCGCGAGCGCCGAGTTTGCTAGATGTGGCATTTTAAAGGAAAATCATAAATGTGTATAAATGAAAGCGAAAAAGAATGAGAGAGAGAGAGAGAGAGAGAGAGGGGGAATTTAAAATTAAATTGATGGTTAAGATAATACCCAAACACATGATGGCAAAGTAGTATAAAAGCGGTATAATTATATCACTTTTGTATTAACTTTTAACTGCGTTTAATAAACGCTTAATAACGTTTAATATACCGTCACGCGTTTGTTGGGTATTGAAACATGATGAATCTTTGTTGAGTAATTATCGCAGAATGCCTTATTTAGATGAGACGAAAGAGCGGCAACCGATAATTATCGTTGTCGTCGCGTTTCTATTAAGTTTAAGTAATCTAGATGTTACCTGCGTAATTAAAATAAATGTTTCTTAATTAAAGCTTGCAGATCACGATAACTTTCTGGTTTCTCACGTCTTCGCTCTCATTTATAATACTTTTACGTAGCTAATATACGATCACACACACACACACACACACACACACACACGCGCGCGCTCAGTTACAGCTGCCTTGAGCGTCGCATCCCTTTTCAAAAGCAATACATTTTAGCGAAAGAAAGGGGAAAACAGCCTGGCTAGTCAATTTAGCCTGACAAAATTTTGAGATAGAGAAGTGTCCCCTATTACGAGACATGCTCCTAATATGAGATAGCGGGGTGCTAAATCAATAGGCAACATCCGTTGGTTGCGCCACGAGAGTTTATTGCCCTTGGAGTGAAATCGGTTTAGTGGAAAATTCATCGTTAGATCGTGCGTGTAATCGTTGCGAAACAAGATCTGCGAAATTGGATATTGAAAACCCGCTATCTCATATTAGGAGTTTATCGCGTAATAGGGGACTTACCTATACAGCGTATACAAGAGAAGATGTGTTTTGCGGGGATGATAGCTGATCGCGGGGTGTCTGAGGGTTAATGCGGACCACATCTGGTTTGCAGGCGTACCAGAAGGCGGTGCGTAACAACAGGGGTGACTTGCGGGTGGCTCTTGCCGAGTCCTCGAAACAGTTAGCACCGCAGTCCGGTCCACGGGTCATTCAGCACACGACTAGGTCAAACAAAGTCATCGACACCGAGAAGACCTTGGAGAAAAAGGAGCTGAAGGCTGATGGATTAATCGTTACCGAGAAGAAGCGAACGGTCGAGCACGAAGAGGTGAGCGTCGCGACGGCAAAAACTGGTTAATATACTCCCGCCATCATTTTTCCCCATCTCGTCTCGAATTACCTTCGCTAATTTTACACCAATTTTAGCTTTGTTAAAGAATAGTTAATTGTACACAACATTTACCGTTAATGATACTAATAATTGGTACATAATTTCGTACAACTTCAATACCATCCAAGTTGGGGAAGTGGTTGCAAATATACGCGTTCGTTTTCGCTTCAGATTAAAGACGACGAGGTCCCGGACGACGGGAAGAACGACGACGACGCCTCCGAGACGAAGAAGGAGAGCTCGCAGAGATACGTGAAGAAGCGGGAAGAGGACGTGGTGGACTACATCTCGGCCGGCGAGAGAGTCGGCCGAGAAATGCGCTACGTCGCAGAGACAACCGAAGGAGAACGAATAGGCGACTGGTCACCATCACCGACGGGCATGCGGACGACTCGTTTTCACAAGTATCCCGGTACGTCGCCTTTCTCCATTGATTTTCTATCGCTGCGTTCCACATGTTTACGAACGGTTGACCAGGAGGTCAATCAGGATAATCATGAACGGTGCTAAAGTATAAAATCTGACTGCCGAGATAAACTGACTGCATTCCTCTTCCACTCTTAAAGCGGCTGCACTATCTGCAATAAGATACATTTGGTATTCAACGAACGTTGGCTTTGCTATCTCGACTGTGAGGGACTGAAGTTGAAGAAAACGTTGAAAAAATGTGATACGCTACCACCGATGCGCTTTCCTTCTCCAGACAATCATTGCTAATTGTGACAGGTTTCTCGGATGCCGCTCGAAAGGATGCTCTGACAAAGAAACCGCTGGATCTTGAGGAAGAGGACGAGGCGAGAAAATTCGAAACGTCGAAGTGGCTGGAGAGCCATTTCGGCAGCGATTCGCGCTCTTCGCACGGTTCTCTCGATGCCGACGACTCTCCTATTCCAACCAGTGCTAACACGAGCTACATCAATGTCACCATGAAATCCTGCACGCCGAAGGAGCGCGATTATCAGAATGTAAGCCGTAATCAGCGACGTGACCGAGAGTCGGATTCGCCTTCAGGATATTTTCATGGAATCAGCGAGTGGTCGGAACGATACCAAGGGAAGGGTATGAAATTTAATAAAAACCTTTTGAGTGTTGATTCGAAACAATTAATCTCCGTATTACAACGTTATATCTTTGTGCAATAAAATGGACAATTATACTTGGTAAATTTTTCCTTAAAAGGCAGAGAAATAATAGAGACATACTGAGCATTATATGAAGTTTAGAGAGTAATCAACCTGCGCCACAACTTTATCGCAAGTATTCATCTATACACGAATTCGAGATGACGTGATTATTAATGTATTCTACACAGAGAAGCAAAATCATGCGCGATCGAACTCTCCAGTCCGGTATGCGGAACCTCCACGTGCCAACGGACATTTCCACGGGCATAAGAGAAATCAAGTTGAATCATCGTATTCGAAAAGCTACGAGTCGTTCCAACGCGAATATCAGGATCCTGCCGAGGAACGGCAACGTACACCTTCCCCACCGATACGTCGACGATCGAAGGAACAGGTGAGAACTTTTTGTTTTTGGAAACAACGTTGAAAATTGTACGACAAAGTATGTAATATTATTAACAAATGCGGTACAAATTTCGAGAGAGAGAGTGTTTATATCCCGTAAATTTGCTGTTCATATTTGTTCTTATTACCAAGTATAATTCATAGCTGTAAATTTACTAAATTTCTAATTAATGTGCCTATAAACTTGTTATATAAATTACTCTTCATACGAAATCTTCTTGTAGTGGACAAAATCCGAAGAAAAAATCAACTCGAGCGAGCCGGGTCGTACCTCAAGTCCGGTACACGTGGTGCAAAGAACCTGGGAGAGCCGTAACCGCGACGTTCAAGCACAGACACCCGAACGCGGTTACAGAAGTACCTCGCCGAGATCGCGATCAATCTCACCGAAATCGCCGATAAACGGTCGCGAGGAGAAGAAATCGGATAGTTCGAGAACGTCAAAGAGCAAGTCTTCTTTCGCAATTACTTCAAGATAGAAGCAATGAGCCACTAAAATACTCTATTATAAATTTATGATTATTTAAGACTTCAATTAAAAAACTTTCCAATTAAATTACGATGAAGCTACAAGGAAATTAATAAAAGCGTCGACACTATCATTGCACTATCTTATAAAACATTGTAAATGTACTCACAGGTCATGGGACCAAGTACAAGATCGGCGAGTCCTTTCGGAAGCTGGTGGGCAAATTACGGTCAGCCAGCACGGAGAGGAAGAACAAACGGGGAAGCGGCTCGACCTCGCAATTGACGCAGACCGACGACAACGGGCCGACCTATTTGCAATACAACGTGATCGACAGGAACATCCCTTTCGTCAGCGAAAGGGACGCAACAGAAGACAGGCCGCCAGAGAGACCGCCGCGATCGCCGCGGAACGCGTCGAACAAGGTCAGGAAGACGGTCACCCGGGCGACCGATCACGGGGTCCAGGAGCAATGGCAACGCAGCGAGTCCACGCCGCCGCCCTTGCAGAGGTACTACTTGGGCGAGGATCCTTTCGGCGGCAGCATCTACGGCCGTGAGAAAGGATACGAGGAGGACAGAGACCGGCTGCGACACGGAAGACCGCGCGGCTCCGGTAAAATTGCCGTAGATTCCGAGTGCAGGTAATCGAAGTACCCGATATACGACGTAGCGAGAGCGAGACAAATTTTGATTGATAAGTTGTTCTGCGTTAGACCGCGCTCCGATTGATACTGCCCCTTATCGTTGTCGCGCTTACTGAAATATCTTCACATAACACACTGTACAGTGATTGTCTCTTGTAAGATATTATGTCTCCTGCCTTTCTCGTGTCTGTTTTCTTCTCGATTGGCATCTTCACGAGTTACTAATTCAGGCTTATAAGTGGGTCTTTGTGGATTACATTGAGAAAACTGATCGGATATGTTTTTAACGTCAAACGGTATTCACTTTGGACTTAAAGACATGTGTAAAGAAGAATGGTAGAGAATTATGGATGGTGATTTTCACCGAGGGAAAATTGATTTCGAGTGCGAGGGATCTAATTTAATTCGGGACACTCTCCAGATCTACCTATGCATGAAGTGTTTGCTAGAAATGGCATAGCGTTTCGAAGATATTTCACGCTTTCTCGTATCGTCAGTGGAAATTTGTCTCACGATCGGAATCTGCCATCGTGAATAGCCGACGAACTACTTGCGCTATCTCATGCCGCACGATCGCCAAAGGCCGAGTTAGTTGTACAAGCTTCAGGAGCCAAAGTGCGAACGTCTAAATCGGGGGCCGCTTGGGTATCTTTAAGTCGCATCTCACGGCGAATCCGCGCTTCGATTTCGGGTGAAGGCTGCATGAAGGGACGCATGAAGGGAAAACGAACGTATATATCGGCTCGGTAGGCTCATTCGATCGTCGCCGCACAAACGTCGACGAGAGAAAGCCCGCAACGACTCGGCAATCACCTTTCGGAAACGACCGCGTTTCAGCGTCGCCTCCAGCTCCCTCGGCAGGTTTAGCAAGTCCACCAGCAGACTGGTCGGCGATCACGTGAGGGAGGAGCATTTCCGGTCCATCCAGACGTTACCGCGGAGCCTGCACTCCGCTGCCGCTGGACAACCGGCACGCTCGCAGACCAGGCGGCACCAGGCGAGCGTCGGCAGGTACGGCGCGCCCGGCAAGATGAGCCAGCACAGTAGCATGATCAACATATCGATCAAGAACACGGTGAGTACGTCGCCCAAGGTGAACGTGACGCCGGCGTACGGCACGCTCCAGGCGCCCCCGAAACCCGAACGGACGTACAAGTCGTCGCTGTCACGCAGCAAGAGCTTTAACGTCGAGGCCGACAGAAACGGCGTCGAGGCGCCGACCCGCGCACCGTATACCTCCAATTTGCACCTGAACCGCCTGGACGAGACGCCGCCGCTCAAGAGCCCCGGCATTCTCGCCAGCATCAGCCGTAGTAACAGGGACCTATTGAGAGATGGCAAATACTGAGGTGGCTAATAACATAATAAATCGTATACCCTTTCTGTTGGACGTTAAATTGCGCTATCCTACCCTCCCTCCCCGTAAACACGCGTGCCCGACGAGCGTCCCAGAGCGGTGCAAGTCTTAGTCCCAGTCTACAATAGAGATTTAAGCCCTAAGCCTTAAGAAATTGACTAATCACAGTCGCGCATTCTACTCATACTTGACCGTGATTGGCCAATTTCTTAAAGCTTAGGGCTTAAATCATCTATTGTAGACTGGGACTTAAGCGAGAAGCGAGAAGTCTGATCAACACTGAAAACAAATTTTCGCTACCGTAGCTAATCATGGTTCGCTACAAATATTTTGCTGCCGTAACGATAAACTTCTAAGCCACAGCAAACGGTATGTTGTCGCACCTAATACAATCCCAGCGAGAGATGACTCGTCGAACGATATCGACATCAATTTGACGGTGCCGATGACGAATCATTTCTCCCTGGGATAGGCACAGTGGCAAAATATTTAGTTATCGCAACTAAATAGTAGATCCATATTTTACAACTGAAATTTAGTTGCCACATGCAGTTTTTAGCTACGGCAGCTACACTTTCCTTTCCGTGAAATAATGAATAATATTTGCCTTTTGTTTATATTGTAAATTCCGATGCACGCGTGCTTTCAGCAATCTTGTACTCTTTTTATTTCGCCTTTGGTTCTCGCTTAAATCTCCACGCACGTCATTTGTTTATTATATTTGTAGATACGGTAAATTTTTAAGTTTACTCTCGTTGAACAACCGACTTCTTCCCCGCGTTATCGCGCATCACCTCGTTACGCGTTTTAATGCGGGATATTGTCGAGGTGACATAAAAAAATAGTAGTAATCGTCGAGACAGACGTATCCTGGAAACTGTTCAATAACAGGCGGCTACTATTTATAGCCGGCGTTTTATTCGTAGACGAGAAAAATATTCAGTTCTACCGCGCGATATGTGCGCGACATCACGAATTATTCAGCGTGAATCGGATCCATCGGAGTCGAGAACGTGAGCGTCACGTCCTCTGAAATCGATCGTACGGGACTACATTAAAGTATAACAGTCGCTAATCCCTCTTAAATATTGTAAAATCTTTCGTATATTCTTAACGTGCCACGTATTTCCGACAGTTAAATTAAACTTACAAAGCGGAATACACGAAGACCGTTGCTACTCTCGGTACAGCGTACAGAATGCTCCGCGTCGCTGTACTTCGGCACCTTCTTATTAATATTTTCTTCTCGGCAACCGAAAGTCTAATTTCCTCTCCCGAACAATCACGGTAACAAATACGACGGTCGTGAAAGGAAATATCGCGGGGCATTCTGTGTGTCCGTTGCCGAGCATAATTTTTATTAACAGATAAGTATTTCACATAGATGCGATATTATTTATATTGTTCATACTGTTGATTTATAATAATATACTATAAATGTAGAAAAACAAACGTCCTTATCTGTTGCATGTTGAACCCTTCATCTCAAATGTTACGTAAACTGTGAATGCAGAAAATATTTCAATTGGATTGTTCACACTGTATAATGTGACAAAAATGTCTCGACCCTCCTTCGTCGTGATGAAAGAGAGAGTACCTGAGCGATTATGTCCCTTTATCTAAAAATACGTTTATATACAGGGTGAGTTTTATTTCGTGAACCAGTCTCTTACCATGAGAGACTACTGGCCGAAGCTGTAGCCAACTCTGGGAAAAATGGAAAAAATCTCGTTGTAAATGTTTCAATCATGTAATATCTAATTGCATCTTGAAAGATATAATTAGATATTACACGATTGAAACATCTATAACAAGATTTTTCCATTTTTTGCCGAGTTGGCTACACTTTTGAACGGTAATCCATCTCTCATAAAAGACTGGTGAAAGACTGGTTCACGAAATCGAACTCACCCTGTATGTAAATTCTACGCCAAACAGGAAGTGATATATTGATAAGAAATTGTCTTAATACCTTTTACTTAATCACTTTAAGATTATTTCATCTTCTTGTGCGTGTCGCCTGCGGCCAATCTTCGGAATTTCTTCACGGCGAGAAACGTGATCGCCGCGTTTACGATGTACGTGCTAACGCATACAATGCATATGTCTTTTAACACGTACAATATATAGGCCAGGTATATCGAACAGATGTTAGAGAGTATCCCCAGAACGACAACGGTGGCCGAACAGGCGTGATTATTGATCATACCTGAAAAAGAAAATGATTTCGCGTTAGTGTTAAGAATTGATTCTAAAGTCATTTGTTTTATCGACACATTCCAATATAGTTTTTGCACCGGTAAATCTTTTTATCAGCTTTTATGCGCAAAATAATGCCAGGATAAGTTGCGGGCCGCATAAGCAGAACATTTTCATACCTAAAACACTCGGGTCAGAAGTCTAATGAAAAGGAACGAAGAGAAATTAAAAATATCAGTATGTGAAGTTGTCACCTAATCTAATCACAATTACTTGTAAAGTGATGTTCTTCATTTCTCTTAGTTCTTCATATAAAGTCGTGAACCCCCCCCCGCTTTGTTTTTATGCGTGCTGTAATCGTGTAAAACAGATGACTTTAGGATCCTTAAGGCGTACACACACGTGGGCGAGTGTTGGATACGTACTTAAAACTGCAACCAGGGTATAAAATGCCAAACCGTATATGGAGTTCGGGATGTTGAACACCGTATCTTTCGGCAACAGTCCGAATCCCTTGCCGTACCTGAAATACAACACGTTATCGTTTTACTATCACGCCACGTTCGCCCGAAACAATTCTACGTTATTTTATTTTGTTGAACTTGGTCTCTTCGCGAATGCTCGACGCGTCGATTAAAAACTCGCGCGGTTGAGGGCAGCAGCCATGGCCGAGCGTCGTCGTGTCGTTGCTGCTACGCAATTTCCGGTTTCACCTTCTTCGCTCACGTTGTTCACAATTACATATTATGCCGGAATACCGCATTTTCTTAAATACCGAAGATAAAATAGCGGCGTGTTTATTACTGTCTGAGAAACAAAATTCGGTATAAATTTGCGTTGGCAAGTTAAAAAGCATGCAGTGGCCAATGAGAGCAGCGATTCTCCGGACATGTTAACATTTTTTTGCGCAACACTTGTTCAGCGGCAAATATCTCGATTGCTCGGCGTCTTGTATAATTTTTATTTATGACATACGGATCGATTCATCATGATTTTCAGCACTGTAACCCAAAAACGTCCTAACATTAATATCATTTATATACCGATCGCTGTATGCATTGCCGCGTTGTGGAATGTCAACACGTCTAAAAAATATTAGCGGATTTTCAACAGGAATTGCACTTATTCGCCGATCCTGGATTTTATTCACGTTCGCGTGTACGTAACACGAGGGACTCGTCGATAAAATAAAAATACAACGCGAGGCCGTCGAGCAATCGCGTTCGGCTGATTGCAGGACGACAGATTGACGCTCGTTCAATCACTCGAACTCGCTTACTCGGACGCGAACACTTTGGTGCAGCTGACGTTCTCGGAGATGTCGCACATCGCCACGTACGAGTCGTCCTGCTCCTTTCTCGTCTCCACGACGTACGCGTAGTACGATAATCCGAGGCCGATGACGCACAAGGACATGATCCCGGCGTCGAGTCCTCGCAAGGCGCAATTTCCAGCGGGCGACATCGTGCCGAGAGACGGTGCTCGCCGCGAGCAATAGGCTCCTACTGGACCGTTATCGCGAGTGTAAGGTCCTTCTCGGCTCCCAACACACTGACGCGGACGTGTATCGGTAAACCCTCGAGATGTTTTCGTGACGAACACGTCATGCTCGCGCGAGGACCGTTAGAGACGATCGATAACCAAATCTTGAGGGAACGCGTTGAAAACACTTTGCTCGCCGTCGCGTACACTCGCGTCTCGGGCTCGCTGGGGCGGAAAACGGATGCTCTCCCTCGTATACATTAGCATCGCGATTAATCGCGAATACTGTCTTACCACGCGTCTCTGATGAGTCGAAATCTTTTATTCTCTTCAAGATTTTACATTATTTAGTAAATCCTAAAATAATCTACCTACATATGTATGTATATACCAAGAGATACTAGTACAGAACTTGAGATGATATATTTAACAGCTGCTGGTATTTTGAATGTCTCTCTGCCGGCACATCCTCATATTTTAAAAGTATTGTAACATAATTACTTATAAGACTTAAAAATTAAGGTTTAGATCAAAAAATACACATATCTTAAATATGTCGACGGTTCTTATGCTTTTTTTTTTATTCCTGCGGGGCCATCGCTCTAGCCTGAGCTTTAACACGCTTCTCGTATTCCAGACGATTTTGGCTACAAAGGACATACTCGATTATTCCCCTGGCACCTACGGACTTAATAGTCGGAGCGTGCGTTCGCAGGTACATACCAATATATTGTGTACGCCTCGGCCTGGGCCGGATCTTTCACGTTCGGCTCGTTCAGCAAATCCTGAATACCCAGCAGGATTTGCTTGATCGTGATGGCTGGCCGCCAGTCCTTCTCCTCGTCCAGGAGCGACAGGCAGACGGTGCCGGATGGGTATACGTTCGGATGAAACAGCGGAGGTTCGAATTTACACTTTGGCGGGCTCGACGGATAGTCATCTTTGAAAATCATACGTAATTTGTACAGGCCACCCTCCCAGGGAGTCTGCAAGATGACGAGTATAATAACCAACGTACGCGACCTGTTATCCTTGAACAGATTGGACTCACGGATTTCTTCCCGGGGATCGCGCACTCCCAGCTCATCAGATTGAGGGTGCCGTCTGGATTTTTAGTTGGCCTAGCCACGAAGCCCTGCGAACAAGAATGCGGCGTTAGCGAAGGAAAACTTAGAATTACACGCGAGGATGCGGGGCCGACGTTTCCGCGCGAGGTCCTCGCGGACCTTCGGGGATCCTGGCGACACGGAAACGTTAAAGTTCAGCCTCCTGCGAGTCTGACGACTTTGCTTTGACAGGTGTCACACGTTTGTGACTAATGACGAGAGCAAACTTATTTTGTCTCTTTCCACAACAACAATTGGACTTGCCCTACGCGTGAGAAATATCAGTCAAGACGGAACAAGTAGACTTTAACGTGCTCCGTCTCTCGCGCTTGATCGGCTTAGGGCGCCACACGGGCCATTGTTTACAATCGCGACGGAGAATCGCGCGTTCCGCGCGCGCCAAGCGTGGACGGCACTGATGGCGCGTCCCCGCGGGAACGCGTGCACGCGGCCCGAGACGCGCGTAAACTTACGAACGGATGGTCCTTCCTCCACGCCTTCCGCTCCTCGGCGAGCCTGGCGATCGCTATGCCTGACATCGGGACTGCGGCGACGCGGCGATTTTCGGACGGCAGACAGTCACGCAGCCGGACGACGCGAAACGACACCCCACGTTCACTCGGTCACGTCCAGTCACGTCGGCGACGTGCTTCGCTACCCGCAGAACAGTCCTGCCACGCAGTTTGAAATGTTATCGGACGCCGATGCCCCGACAGGCGAGCCCGTGAAAAGCGTTCCGCGCGAGGGTGCAGCCGCTTGCTCAGCTAGAGGGTTTACACGCCGACCGTGTTCGTAAAAGCGTCACGGATTCGTTCGCGCGCGTACGGTTAGGATCGCAGGAGGGATTTTTAGCGGATAAATTGACCGTATAACAGCAGCGACTCGGCCGATAAGGCAGACGGTGCTTTCCGGACTAAATTACAGACGCGCGCCAATAACGTGCGCCGAAAACTTGTCCAGCTCTCTGATTCGTCAGTCCAGCATCTAGTCGCGTGTGGCTCGCAATTTGAGAACACCGTGCGTTTGTGCTGCAATAATTTGAGGGACAAAAATAAAATTTATGAATGTTATAATTTACATCAATAAGGTAAATCGATTTGTTCGTGTTATGCATCGAGTGATTTCTACAGTCACTCAGTTTTTGAAAAATTAGAGCATTAATTTAAACAGCAAAAATTATAACATTTTCAATTGTATATTATATTGCAGGCTGTATTTATATTAACCTAAATTTTCCCTTCTAATTCCATAAATTATTTTTGTGAATATTTTACTACCAAGATTTGGCAATCAAATCAAATCATATTGTAGTGGAAATTTGCGCGATCAAATTTTTTACTATTTTTTTCGATATGCTATTTTTACATTTTTTAACTTGTTAAAACACTGTAATCGTCACTATTTGAAATAATCTTGAATACCTTGATTCAATTATACAGGGTGTTATGTAATACCCGCATCAACGCTTATTGTGGGATAGAGTGGACTAGACTAAGTCGAAAAGTCCTCTACCATTTTGCAATTTTCGCAAAAGTCAGCGAGTTATTAATTATTAAAAATCGCTGTCTTAAGCCCGTATCAAACTACGGATCGGGATTGGAATTAGATTGAAATTTAACCAATCACAGTAAAGTTTACTAATTTCAAGTTCAGTAACTTTTACTCTGATTGGTCAAATTTCAATCTAATCCCAATCCCAATCCGTAGTCTGATACGGGCTTCGATTTTTAATAATTAATAACTCGCTGACTTTTGCGAAAATTGCAAAATGCTAGAGGACTTTTCGACTTACAATTAGTCTAGTCCACTCTATCCCACAATAAGCGTTGATGCGGGTATTACATAACACCCTGTATACAATGGAATTCTTATTAAGTAAATTTTGTGTAAAGATATTATTTTTAAAAGACATCTTTAAGACGGCATTAAGTTGTCTTTTAGACACGCATTGCTATCTGGGAACTGTCTTAAATATCGTATATATTTTAATATCTTCATTAATTCTCCGTTCATTATATCAATATTAAAGTACCACGTTTTCCAAGCGACACAAAGTTAAAAATTTGCAAAAATTAAATACATGTATATTTGATTCGAATTATTTTCCTCAAAAAAAAAATATTTATTAATTAAACAACGAAGAATGAAATGCTGAATTATATTGCCGCAAAAGTCTTTACGTTTAACGATTGCCTAAAGAAATGGGAAATTTGTAATAACGCGAGTGTCGCTTACTGGTTGACGCTATAGGTTCCACTGTTTGAAAAATGTATTATCGCAATATGCACCGCTGCATCAGGTAGATCGCATCTCCGCGGCTGTTATCGCGCAATATGTTCATTACACGTTAAGCCATCGGACCGTTTTAGTTATCCACCTGCTGACACGCCGAATACAGAGCTTCTATTTTCTCATTAGCATCACTGCCATTCTTCATACGACGCCCATCGCGATCGCGCGCGTGATACCGGTCCGTCGCTGGATTGACAGCGCGTTAAAAAAAAAAAGAGTGCCGAGTGATACCGGAATTCCACAGATCTTGCATACACATATAAAACTTTTGCCTCTCTTTGTTAACGAACGTATTCGTTTCCGTGGACAGCTCGTCACGTCGATATTTATTTGCGGCGCTTAAATATTTCGCGCGATGAGAGTGACAGTACAACGAACTTTTCTGTGAGTACTTAACTTTTCTTTTCCAGACCTAATACCACGCGGATCCTATCGCAGTCTCTCGCATCAGTTGCACAGACATCTTTGCAGTAGCTTCTACAACGTAAAAGATTACCGTAAGGATTAATCGAAAGTCGGTTTATGCTTCACTCGCGAAATTTTAAGAACCAAACATTTTATGATATATTGCAGTGTAGAGGAAAGTCCCCTATTATGAGATAGGATTCTAATATGAGATAGTAGGTTTTCAACGTCCAAAAACAAACCTTTTTTTCACGACGATTACGCGATCTAACAATGAATTTTCCACTAAACAGATTTTACTCCAAGTAAATTCATGGTGGGACCAACGGATGATGCCTATTAATTTAGCAGAAAGTCCGCTATCTCATAACAGGGAACCTTCCTCTAATAAATAAATTATATGAATATAATTAATTATTTGCCAAAGAACGTAATCAATGGCTGAACTTGGAAAGTATACGATCTGCCGCATCTACTTCCATGGATTTAGATTCATGAATAAATACCATGTATCGCGCAGATGACTTATGGTGTCGCGGACAGAAAAAGGCACGCTCGATGATTAATAAGTAACGCTAATGTTAAACTCGCGATCGAGATTGTTCGCGCGAAGGACGGTCCACCGTTAGGCGGAGAGATAACTGTAACAATATTTGCATTATATTTAGTATCAGCGCGACAATGTTGCGGTGACAATCAAAGGCAAGATCAAGGCAAAGGCGTTCGCGCGATTCGCTCGCGTTCACCGCTCAATCCTGCTCGAGGACGGAACCGAATTGTTCGGGAGGCGCGGCCGCGGCGGCGGCTAATCGATTGCGAAGGCATTTCGAGTGCTGATAAGTTTAAGACGGCGCGCGTTAAAGCCGGGAGGATAATAAATGCGAGATATTAAATTATGTACGTAAGTCAGTTAATGCTGGCGAATATAACGGTCTCGTTATCGCGCCTCGCGCAAATAGTGAGGCTGCCAAGTAATAAAGATTATAAATCTCTCACGCTAGCCCACACCACCCACTTCCGTCGCGCGCGCCTTCGCGAGGGTACGCGGAATTGTGTAACGCCGTTAAACAAACTCTTACCTTGCGATCAAACAAAGGATAAATTATGTCCCGCGCGCGATCACGGCGCAGATGTTTAAACACGATGAGCTAATCTCGATTTCATGAAGGAGCACACCGTCCGCGCGATAACTCCCCGCGTTAACGCGGCTCCTCCGAATTCCTCGCGGTTAAACAATCAAATTCCGTTTTACAGAATCGCGCTCTTCCTCGTGCACGCGCACTTTTCGCACGGCTTCGCGAAAGACGATGGCAATTGTTCTCGGTATCGCTCGCACGCCGACGATCATCCCGAGTGCGACTTTGTGAAAGATCGGCAACGTCTCGTTTGTTTCAACGGTCTTGAAGACGAATGGAGAGCAAGGTAAATAATTGCTGGAAATCTAAATTACCAGTTGCACATTTTCGAACGATTATCGAGCAGACGTTATCGCTTCCCCGATAGAAAATTGAAGTCTGACATTATTGACATTATTATCGCTCGATGTTATTATTCGAGAAGCTGTTGAAGGAGCAAAATAATATTGAATTTTTAGGGCTGAAACCGTACACGTACTCATCCTTTGCGCATGGCCGAAGGCAACGTTTGACCCGCAGGAGATTTTACGGGGATTCACGTTCTTACGAAAATTAATGATTGCGAACAGTAACTTAACTCGATTGTCAACCGCATTTCCAAGCGAGATGCAATTTCTGGAGGTAGAGAATGCTCGCCAAACGCTTGGGAGAGCAATCGAAAGCTTCGCCTAGACTTCATTAAAGTTGCTTATTCGAATTTTCATGGACAATGGGTCGCGATGATTGACAGTTTTACCGTTGTTTCACAGAGCGGGATAGAAGTTAAATAGACCGCCTCGGCAGATATTGATCATGAAAATTCGTCCTTGCCTGCAAGGCACATATTTTGCGCGCATTTTATCTCGAGCATATTTTGCGGGGAGTTTGGAGAAAGATGTTTGTGTCGATAGAAAGTCAATGTGACCGGCACCAAACTGCGTTCGCTACCGACAGATGCGTTCTCCAATTTACGGACTTTGAGATGCCTCGACCTGAGAAACAATGCTCTCGAGGAGATTAGCGTTACGGCTTTCGACGCACCTGCGCTGAAGCACGTTCATCTGGCCGGTAACTCGATGACATTTCTATCACGAGACACGGTAGTGTCTCGCGCCAAGTATAAGCGAAAAGTTTTAAAGTGACAAGCTAAACCACGCGCGCGACATAAGAAATTACAAGGCTTTGTCAAATAAACGGAATTATAGAAAACGTGGCGAATTACAATTATATTACTATTTGTAAAACGCCGTGTAACACTTGTGTAATACTGAGATCTGTTTGTGTGATTAATAAATTGCCTAATCAAAATTGCGTTGGATCGATCGCGCGAATAATTAATGAAGATGTACTGACGAAGGTAATCCATTGAGATGTACGGAAGATGTAGCGTGGATTTTGGACTCCAGTGAGGGATCAGCCGCGAGTAAAGTCGCCGACAAAGACAAATTACTTTGCGCCACGCCGTATGATGGAAGACCGCTTGTCCCGATCGTCGAGATAATCGCGGTAACGAGAAAATACATCCTTTTCTTGTAATTGATGATTAAACAGCTCTCGAGTTCCCGCCGAATCAATCTGATTTCCAGACACTGAAAAAGGAATGCAAAAAGACGGTTTGCGACTGCGAATTGATTTATGTGGTTGCACGCGCGGGCAAACTAACGCAGAGGCAGCTCATAGCTTTTACTTCCGTCAACTGTAGCCATCGCGATTTGATGGAAATGCCGAAATTTTTACCTGCGGATACAACGTCCCTTCGTCTGAGTGGAAATAAGGTCGTCTATTCACACGCAATTCTCCTCGCTTCAAGCAATAAGTTTTACCCTAGATAATCGTGTCGTGTAAAATATAATTCACAAAATATTACAGGCGTATATAATTCAGCGACACGTGTCTGTAAATATATTTTTGAAGCTTATATCAATATAAACTTATTGTTTATATAATACTTAAATCAAAGCAATGTATGTTTCAATTCGTTTGTTACTTTTCAAATTTAAGTTAATAAGCTATTAGGAGCCACCTAATGAAGGATTTTCTGGAGTAAAGTAATATGTTTTTGGATTAAGATATTTTTTGTATCAGTGTACGAATAAGGGATACACATATTAGGTGGTGAGTAAAGTAGTTTTAATCTTAATCTCTTGTTTACTGCAGATCAAGGACCTAACTCCGCTCGCGACAAATCCTGCTTACAAATCCGTGCTGGACCTCTACATAGACGATAATCTGGTAGAATCTATCGCTCGGCTAGAAGGATCAGACTGGCTGGACCATTTCCGACTCCTTAATCTTCGGGGGAATAAACTTACCGATGTTAGTTCGCCGTGTCAAACTTATCCGATGTCACGCGAGCAGACAATCTGTTTCGTATGATGGATGCCGGAATGAGGAAAAATTGTTTGAGTTGATTTCGTGCGGCACGGTAGACGATTAAGAATGGAGATACGCGATTTGCGACGATTGTGAAGTATCACGCGCGCCGTTCTATATCAACACAGCACGTTGCGCTATTTCATAAGTGCGCGAGTCCACAAATGCAGTTTATGATCCTTTGTTCCGTGTCTTTTAGTTGCCTACTTACGCCCTGGAGAACGCATTGCTGCGCAATAGGAACGCAGCTGGCCTGTATCTCGGCAATAATTCGTGGACGTGCGACTGTCACTTTACACCGAGCTTTCAGGTATAATTAAATCGATATATCATATACTTTGCACACAAATTTTCAAATTAATTGCCAATTACGATAATTACCGGTTCGTTCAAGTTTGATATTTCTTACTTCTATCATTTTAAATTATCAAAGAATCAAAAGGGATAAATGGAAATAGCGGTATAAATAAAATAACGTTAAACCTAAGGTAAGATTTCCAATATCAAGTATTCACAATGCGTTTTTGGAAATCTCACAGTTTAATCACTATTACTTTAGTCGTGTGCTTCTACTGATTTTTGTGCAGGATCTTCTGATCAGGCATTCAAGTATAATAAAAGATATCAATGACATAAAGTGCGCTTTCACGAGTGACAGCGATAACTCAAACAAACAGGTAACTAACTGCACGTCTTTTTTCTCAAGTGAATCGGATTGAAAAACAGAGCATGAATAATGCAATTAAAATGCAATTGCGTTGCGCTTTAACATTTATGTAAACTGACTCTCACAGATCCGTGATCTTACGCGGACAGAGATCTGCATTTTACCGGACGAAGATTCTTGGCTTCATCCCCTCGACGTTTTGAACATCGTATTGGCGTCATTAATATTCCTCGTGCTTGGCAAGCTTTTGTATGATTACTGGTCTTTTAAGAAAACCGGAAAGCTGCCTTGGATCGTCGCCAAAATACCATGATATCGGTACAAGTGCCTCTTATCTCTTGCTGAAAAAGCTATCGAGCGTTTGATCATTAGAGTAACAATGGAAACAGTAGCGGAGGGATGAATGTATCCGCATCAAAATCTTTTTGTTCGCGTACAAGACCCTCGACACATCTTTCCTGCAAATCTAACGTACTAACTTTAATTAAACTTTTGATATAAGATACAACTGATAAGCAAAGGCAAGAACATGTGTTTAGACTGAATGAAAGATTTCAATTGCATAAATTTTCCGGTAACTGTTTATATGTATTTCGGCACTTATTTCCAATTTATTTTAAAGACAAACCAATAGAATCAGCAGTACACGTTATATCATAATAATATGATTAATGCACAATTTTTGCGTTTATGTTGATTGCTCATCACAAATGTACTTCTGGTACAAACTTTCAGCAGCGGCAATCGTAGCGCTATGTCTCCTCCGTCCTTGCCCTACAAATAATATTATATAAATTAGTAAAAGATATTTGAAAGTGTCAATTGTATTTAAAAGAAATGTGCCATAAACGTTACGTGCCATGTTTCGTCTAGAATGTAAAATACTTTCTCGCAAAAATGCTCGATAACAGATGCTGTTGTATTTTCTAATCAGATTATCTTTTTATGGAAACAAAATGAGGAAAGAACGTACCGACTCCGACACGACCTAAAGCTAGGCATTCAGCTGAATACATAAATCCTTGATGTGTCCTCGGATTGCGAATAGTGTACTCTGGAAAGGGTTCTCCTTTCTCGAGACACAACTTGTAGAGTTTTTGCGACGCGTTCAACCCGTCTTTATTAAATGCTGTTATCTGTAACATCCTGACACAAAGAGAGCGCGTCAACTTTTATTTTACACAAAGCAGATTGTTTTTCAGTTCGTCGCTTCGGCAAGTTTTACATCGTGGAAATCCACAATCCTAATTTCGCGCGTATTCTTGCATTAAACTTACTCCTCTCTCTCGAAATCTAATAATCCGCCGAACGACGAAAGTTTCGAGCCATCCATCTGACGCTCGGCTATCATCCACAATATTTTTCTTGCCAATTTGTTTTTGGCCAGATCTTGGGTCTCGGCACACGACATTGCTGGCACATTATCCAAACTATGTTTAACAACGTGTAAAGAAGCACTTGCAACATTTTATACCAAACGACAAGTAAAAGTTATCGAAATGATGTAAGAAAGAACTGCAGTGAATAATTGGCACGGTTACTGGGTGAAAAAAAAATAGTATTCAACACGCACGAGGTGATAATGTCCCGTGCAATCTGTGACAAGCTATGAAGTATTTACCGCGAAATCCACACAGGTCACCGTTTATCACGTACAGATTCGGCTTTAGTTTGTACTCGTATTTGATTGACACTTTGCACCGCTTTGCGTACTCCTCAAGGATAGTCCACGGCGAACGACAATTCGCGGTTGCTGCAGAAGATTTTGCAACGCTGACCTATATTATTTAAAAGTTCCTTTTACTACAAAGCAATTTTCGATAAGACAAATTTTTATTTCACCCACGTATTGTTGGATGAAACCTTGGATAAAATGGAGAAACGATGAGATATTTTTAAGAGACATTTTAAGTCTCCTTCTGTTACGAAAAATCTACGCGGGGAGAATTTCCTCGTAAAACTTGCCCTGGAAATCATGTAATCGTGGGACAACGTGGCATTTTGAACGACTTTACGAGAGCAACCCTGGCCGAGGTAATATTTTTCGCAATGAATTTCTTTAATTAGAATTTGCCAGCCAAGCGTCGTCTAGCAATTTTCTACATTGGTTAACCATGTACTGGCGTTAAATAATTCTTTACGTTATTTACGAGAGTACCTTGAAATTTCACAAACTCATAAAATTCTTCGAAATGCCGTGTTGTCCCACGATTGCATGATTTTCAGGATAAATTTTAAGAGAAGATTCCGTGTACGTTGCGTACATTCCAGGCTATATCTTATGCATCCATATACAAACCTAAGTGTATCAATACCTGTGAGTCTCTCATTACTTTCTTATCGATCTCGTCACATTTGCCATCGTTGATCATGAAATGAGCGTCTACTTTCCCGTCGATATTTGGCCGAGTTTCCGAATCGTTGTCATCTGAGACAATTAAGGTGAAATTTATTTGTGCTGTTAATTGCGAAATAAATTTTGTACCTTCCGTATCGTCGTGCCAGTCTCGCAATGCATTATCAGTCATTTTCGTCCATCCTTCCAAACTATTCGTTTCAGCTATCGCGTTCATCAGCCCTATATCATAAACATATCTGTGCACCCCGGCGAGTACAATTGCCCTACGTCAAATTATAAATTTTCCTATGTCCGCGAATATTTCTGTGAAGGATTGTACTCTTTTCTATTACGTGTTACACTCACTCTCTTCCGAACTAACGCCGATTGCTTTGTCAGCATTATCCTTTACGTTAGTATCTGATTTCCCCAGGGAATTGTGACATTTATTCATCGAGCTCGTTTCGAAATGTTGAACGACCCCGTCGACTCTTGGAGGTGAATTCAAATGATATTCCTGACAAGGTTTCTTCTCGCGCTGAATGGATTGTTCACTACAATGTTGGGGCTCTAAATCCGCCTGCTTCTCACGAATATCGTGCACCATAAATTGCGTTTCCGCACTCTCGGGGGCGTCGCAATGTTCCGAAATCTTGGACAAGGATAGAGATTCTTGAATTTTATTTAATACGGCGCGAGTAATAATAGCGTGTAACAATAAGCGGAAAGTGTGCGGGGAATGTACGTACGTTCGTTTCTTCGGCAAACGATTCTATGTCGGATACCATCGAAATCGTCGCGTTAGATTCCCGGGAATCCGGTGTGTGAAACGAGCTGGACGTGTCTGCAATGTCAAATGAGCGTCAGATCCCGCGAACTCCGGCGCAAGTTAGATAATATTGCCGCGTTGTAAATTTTAGATTCAGAATCGCTGAAATTTCCAGAATACACGCGGAATCGCAATGACACGAAAAATTATGATGCGCGATAATTTAACAAATAAATTGTACCAATTGAAGGCGCGGATGCAGCGAATTTAACAAATCAGCTTACGCGCTCGAGCCCGCGTCAGATTACATAGCAAATTTTCGAATAAGCACTCTTTAATCATTAAACGCCAGATTTGCAAAATGAAGCAAATGAAGGATTATGCCGGGTAACAGTTTGGTCAATAAGTCCGCGTGGCACAATTGAAAGGATGGATAAATGAATGTAGGTCGCGCGTATACCATACATTTCTATGAAAGATAAATCTTCCTCGTGAATAAATTATTTGTGTGTTTCCCGTTCTATCATGTACACCATTAATTTAATAACGTGATAATTACAATGAGGTTAGCCGAGTGCACGAATAAACGCCGGCTATTTGCATAATTGGATCACGCTATTGTAACCATTAATTTCAAGCTTAAGCTCGTTATTTTAAACGCGTTAAATCGTAAAACAAGTTAAACCGAGTGTACTAAAATTCCGCCGAGATTGTTTGCCCGCGCGCCCGAGACACCCGGGCTCGGAGGAAGCGCACACCATTTCCCTGAGTGCAGGGCGTCCTGAGCTGCTGCAGCAGATCCTCCGCCCGTTCGATCACCGTTTCCATCTCGCAGAGGAGCGGCGCCGCGTTCGGGAATCGCCGTGCGATCGTGTCCCAAATGACCTCGGCATCCTCGACACCGTGCAGCGATCTCGGTGGTTCCAGCTTGCCGTGTGTCGCCGTATCAGTCAACGATGCGCTCCCGGTGGACATTCGAGGATTCCGTCTTCACGCGAGTACGTCCGCGACGTGATGAATATTTCATCGAGATCGGCGCGATAAATCTGCCGGGCTATGGGCGAGCGATTTTACATTTTTCGTGGACGGAAAATTGACGGATCGAAGATGTCAAGAGGCAAACAACGTAGGAGCGCGATGTTATCCTGATCGCGATGTACCATGCACGCTGTCGCGCCGCGGTATGAATTTTTTCGGATCGTATGAATAAAGGCGGCGTATTATAGCGGCATTGCTATTAGTAGTCAGAAGAGCGAGGCAGAGGCATTTATATTGAACATTTTAAAACAAAATCGTATTCCACGTTTCCTAGGGCTTTATGAATACGCCGCTACGTTTATTACAAAGCGATTGCTCTTGCACTTGGAAATTTTTTTTTTTTTATTACGGTATTAATATAGATCCCGTATCAATACGTATAGGACTGCATAATACACGTACAGATTCAAAATCTATCCATAATTTCTCTCTCGCGGAATATAAAATAACTTTTAAGGAAAAAAATTGCCAATTAAACTAATCATGTTTTAATTAAGAAGCTTGCTCTTGGAAATAGCAAATTTTTTTCTGCTTTATTCCTGTCGCAATTAGTGCTACGTGGTTTTTTTTATGCCGTGAAAATTCGCGCAAGTATTGAAAATGAGGTATCGCTTTGCAAAATATCTCCAAAGCGTGCAAGAGATCGAATAAAGTTGCACGGGGCATTGCGGCACGAATGTGAATTTATAAACTTAAATTAGGACTAGAATATATGAATAACGTTACTTCCCCCGAGAAATTGCGATTGAGAAAGAGTTCCTACAATCGTTATGACGGAGAAAAGTTTATCGCGAGGAGAGTTGACCTAAATATCAAAAGTTTTTGGGACCTTTATGCAGCGTACGAAAAGGGGAACGCAGGGTGACTTCTTTTAGCAAAAATTATAATTAGTTTCAAACACTTTTTTTTTCATCTCCATTCTTTTGTAGGTGTTGCTTCAATTTAATCATTCTGTTAACTATTTAACTTGCAATGAGTATTAACTCTAACGTTTAAATTATTATTTGCTTGAAAATATAAATTCTCAAGATATAAATTATGTTCCTGAATTATTTACCTGAAGATATAAATGCTCAAGAAGGAAAATAATTTGAAGATCCGCACGTTCCAATGATTTATGCAAAGTGGAACTTCGGACAGTGCAACACGTGTCGTTGTATTTCTTTATGAATATAAAGATATCTGGAGAGAAAGTTGTCTTTTTAAGAAAGAGCGAAACGATAATGAACCGATTAATAATGCATTTCTCACGGCTGATCTGCTGGGTTTCTTTAACGCGATGGTATTTTATTAAAATTATAAACACGGGATTATACAATACATCGTGTAACGCGTAATACTTGCTTAGAAACGTCGTTGAATCAAGGCCTCTTTGATTCAAAACTCTTTACCATCCACTTTTTTTTAGCTACGTGTGTGCGAGCCAGTTTGTGCTACGGCATTTTTTTTCCTTTTTTTTATACCTTTTTTCGTGTACGTTCTTACATACATGCATAGTACTATAGTTTCGTAATCGTAGGACGCATTCTCGATTGAGCGCGACGTGGAGTCGAGTCGTACCGTTTAAGTCCCATGATGACTGCACGCTCCACAGTTTGGATTCATATCCGTCGGAGGAATTAAACTCGATGCCGATCCGCCTCGGCGACGGCGACGACGGTGCTTTCGAAAGGGGTCACGTCGACATTTCGTTTCGCCGAGAAGATGCCGGGAAAATAATAATAAATCGTCGTCCCCTTGTGAATAGAAAACGATGCGTCCCACAATCTTTATTACGTCGGTTCCCGTCGTCGAAGGACTTCCGCGTTTACTTATTTATAGACTTATTTATCGTCAACTGCGAGAAAACCCGGTCTCGAGGATATATAAAAAATTTCGTGTGAAACGCTTCCTCTCCTTTCCTCGTTTCTTTCTTTCTTTTTTGACCGAACTTTGTATAAAGGGAGAATCGGGGAAAATTCGCTTTTCGAAAAGAAGTCGCCCCCGGTGATCCGTGAAAAAGTGACCTCGCGACTTCGGTCTCGGCTAGATGGATGGTGGCGCGCTTAAATTAATTTCGGACTTTCGATATGTTAGAGTAAATTTTAACATGTCTTTAATGTGGCAGTCGCGCGGTTAACACATCGAGGAGCCCGGCGGGTGTGCACCAGTTTCGCTTCTGATGCACGCTACGCTATTCGCTAGTACGTTATTCGTTATCGGATTCCGTGATCTTATAGAGTTACAGAGCGTCATATACTCGGACAGCTTTTCGTATTTCGGGTAGAAAGAGACTTATAAAACTTTATGAATAAATAATAATCGCGGCAGTATTCGTTGGTAGGCGATGTCCTTAAGTGAATTATTCACGGAGCAATTCACGAGACTGGCGAGAAGAGTATCTTAACGCGACCGACGTTCTCTGCAGGAGTGTTCAAGTTCGCGAGTTCGCAAAAACACCGTATCAAAACACCGCAATTAACGTTAATTAAAAACATCCAAAATTGCAGATGCAACTATAATTATGGTTTTCTCGCGCGAGATTTTGTAATGGACTACTGTTTAAAACAACGGAGCTCGAGAAATTCTTTTCAATTTGAAATATATCGCTCCTCGTATCTTCTACGTTTTTAAAAGGGAAGTGTATAAAATTTTGCTTTGCCCTAATTTGATTACGTGATTTCTTAAATATTGTATAATGCGTCAAATTCTTGTCGACCTGTGTCGCTTCTCCACCCAAGTCTGCTCGCTACGGGTTTGCTTTAATCGAATGTTCTATCAAACTACGCGCATTACGTTCGAAGAATGAGTTTGCATCTCGGCGTTCAACTCACACATCGCGTGTCTTCCCGATTCATCATCTAGAAATTACAGACTGGGCGGCGTTAAGATATCGGTCCCGCCAAGGAAAATTGCACTGAAGGATCCCCATCTTCGGCGATGGTTCTCGAGGATGCGCATATGCGAACGTGAAATTTACGCGTGAGATTTATTTCCGATTGTTGATACGCTTACTTCTATCACAGCATACAGACGTACGTTAGACGTGCCTTACCATACAGTGTCTATAATAGGCTAACGCGTGGAGACTGCGTCCATTTGCTTAACAGGATTACGCTGTACAACGCTCCTGTGGCATCCAATTAATTACACGTGGGTATCTACGTCTCATTCAAGCCGCGCGTATCGATACCGAACCTAGATTATACGAGTAAATTATCTACGTATCATGCCGTCTTCCATAAATCACCTATGAAGTTGAAAAGTCGAAAATCACCAATGTGGATAATATAAAAAAATGATTGCCGGATCGACGTAAAAAAGAGTGAGGCCCGATCACCGTATTGTAATGGGCGAACACATAGTTGTGCGAGATGGAGTTAATATATTATACAATAATCCATAACATTAATTATAATGTAAGGATGACTGTACTAGATTGGCATCAGGTAACAACCGATCAGACCGTAGGAAAGTACTTTGCGGCACGGAAATATCGACTCGTCCAATTATCAGGTTTATCACAAAATTCATCGTACCTGTATAATTCCCGATCACAGCGTCAGATTGCGAATGCTCTTAACCAAATCCCGAAGTGATGAGAATTTAGCGTTAACACTTCCCGATAGTGCAGTCACCCTAATCTAGAACAATGCATTAGCACTGACGTAGTCCAAGTCTACGGCTGGTCCGGCCGCAATCATAGGTGATCCAATGAGAAAATCAGGCTAGACGGGGGTGTGAAGCGCGTGAGTCCGATTGTAACGATCATCGAGACCTTGCGCGAACGTCGATCAGCTAATCCTCCTTAAATCACGGCCAACTCTTTATCAATTTTTTTTTCCCCCTCCTGGATCTCGTGTCACAAGAATGCATGTGGTGTTACCGATAAGTGCGAATCGTCGGAACGGGCGAGATCGTGGATCAGAGAGGTACAACTGCACTCGAACCTTACCCCGGATGTCGTTCGCGACTCTTCGCGCACCCTTTTTCCGTCCATCGCGTCGTCATTCACATGCGAGCTATCTGAAACGCTACTCTCGCGCTTTAGCGCTGGTACAACATCGCGTGTATTCTCTTTGCTCCTCCATCTCGTTACTTTTATCATCGTACTGCCATCGTAGACGTTTACGACGTTCGCTCGATAACCGACAGAATGTGCACTCAACGGAAACAGCGTATCCTACGTCTCTTAGAAGCATTGCGTACGCGTAAAACGCCAATTTCGCCGCTCTTCGTCCACTCGCGCGTATCTCCCATTTTTTTTTCTTTTTACTCCTAAATCGTGTGTATCTAAACCTACCATGATACTGCGGTGTTTATCGTAAATGCCATAAACACGAGCGTACGAGGTGCGGTTATTATCTACCTTTCATCGCGACTCCTTTCTGGAGGATCGCGCTCTCCACGGTATCCATTCTCGCGCGACAAGCTCGCCGGTTATCGCCCACCCCGGTCTAATGACTCGAATCGCGATCCGCTCATTCAAGGCAAGCCGATCGTTATGATTCGATCAGAGGAATAGAACTCGGCTACATTCGCCACCAGCCAAGTGGCCATCGAGCACGTCTCGTGCGCTCGCTTCTATGCGCTTCGGATATATTCTACGGGATTTCGTACGATTACTGCGAGAGTATGTATACGTGTGTATGTATGTGTATGCACGCGTATTTACGCGCAGGTGCGCATGTAAGTCTGCCGTGTGTGTACGTGTATACGTGCCTTGGGGATGGGAGTGTTTGGCTGCCGTACACTCCGGTCCGTTACTCGGGGGGGGAGGTTGATGGGGAAAGTGGAGGAGGGAGGGCCCAGAGCGAGGTAGGCATTTAAAAATCATGACTATTCACACGGTGGTCTCGATATTGGCGATGGCGTATTGTCAACAAATACTGTCCTTCCCGTAATTCTCCAGGTACATTTCCTGGGGCGTGGCTAGGTTGTAGCGTCCGCTCAGCCGGCTCCCGGTCAAGCCGTTGTTGTGGTGAGTGTGATTCACGTGGAGATGATTGACGTTCAGGGCGACGTTCTTCTTCTTCTTGCGCGCCTTGTGCCGGTAGAGGCAGTACTTGAGACAACCAGTGGCCAGCAGGAGGATCAGGAATATACCGAGGGCACCGGCGCCCACCGCGACGTAGAGCAGCGTCACCCCGAAGCGGTACGAACAATTGGCCTCTTCCTCGTCGAAGCCCGAGGGACAATGGCGCACGCCGTCGCACCACAGGACAGAGCTGATGCACGCCTGGATCTCTGGACACCTGATCGCAAGAAAGAGAGAGAGAGAGCTTTCCATCAAATTCCCATTTACTTCACAACATGTAAACAAGTTGATTGAAATCGCGCAACGTACCTGTACGGGCAATCTTCCGCGGGCAATATAGTAAACGCGTTGGCACCTAAATTCGGCGCGGCCGGTGACCGTTTGGAGATGGCGATCCACGTGACGGCGTAGAAACCGGGTTCCCGCTGGAGGAACTCCACGACGAAGCTGCGGGAGTGCTGGGCCATCGCCACGCTCGCATTCACGGCGCTGTAATTCCAGCCACCCGAGAAGAAATCGACGGTCCTGGCCGTGTCGACGCCGCCCTCCGGACAGATCACGCTGCGCTCCTTCGTGTTCGCGGCCGAGTAGACGACGATTCTGTTCAGGGTCGCGCACTCCATGACGTTGTCCAGGGTGATGCCGAAGCCGGCGGTTCTCAAGTACAGGAAATTGATGCGCGCGTCCTCGGGCTCGATCAGCCATGGCTCGTTGACGCATTGCGTCGCCGTCAGGTCCTCCGTGTTGGTCAGGATCTCCTCCACCGCTGCCAGGCCGGGGATCACCCGCGGCAGCGGACTCCTCAGGGAGATCTCGCCGCTGGTGCCGCGCAGTCGTCGCTCCTCCAGTCTCGAACAGCCGTGCTCGTTCGACTCCGCGCTCACCGGGACGAAACGGTATTCCCCCTCGAAGAAGAAGTCTCGGTAATCCTGGGTGACGTTCATGAGCGTGATGGTAAACCTGATCTCCACCACGTTCGACGTCAGGGTCCGGACGACGATTCTCTCGCTCACGTTTGAGCACAGACAATCGCGAACCTGAAAGCAGAGAATCACGACCACGAAGAGTGAGATCGAAGTACAACTGTCGTAAAAATATTCGACTATTTGTAATTATTCAGAGACAAAATGTCCGCTTTAGTGTCAATCCTTTCGGAAATAGATTTTTTTCAATGATTCTTTAACGAGGCAAAGAGACTACTTGAAAATTGGAGTTAAATGAATGAAATACGTACCAGTTCGACTCCTTGCCAAGGATACTCAGCGACGACAAGATCCGCCATGCCGAATTTTTTAACATCCGCCATACGGCGGTCGCACGTCCATCGATTCACCAACGGGTCCACGTAAGACGCGCAGCTCTTGCCACCGAAGGAGGCTCTGACGAAGGACAGCTCTATTCTGTGATCAGGCTCGGCCTCGAATCTATACACGCAGCTGAGATTCTGCGCCCCGCCGCGACCATAGAAGAACACGTTCTTCGGTGACGCGAACTTGCCGGAGTTGGACGATAAGGAGGACGAGGAGGACGAGGAGGAAGAGGAGGATAAGGACGACGTGGAAGACGTGGATGAGGCCGACGGCGCCGAGGCGAACACGTGGTTACACGAGACGGCCTCGTGGACGAACTCGTAGCGCAGCACGAAACTTATCGGATATAGCGCGCTACCCTGGCGCAATATGTGTTCCAGGGTGAGGTCGCGGCCTGTCGACACGTAACTCTCCGCGAGGCTGCATGGCCGCGTGTGACGGCTGCTATTGCGCAGCAGACTGTGATCGCAGAGTCGCGGTATGTCGTCCTTGCAGAACTGTCCCATCAGCGTAATGTTCTGCGAAATTATTACACACGAGATGCGTCAGATAAGAGTGCCGAGCGTTTAGTATCGACGTAACTTGACGATAATTTTGTTACGTAACATATATTAATATATGCGAAGAGTTTCTCGTGTTACTCTAAAGTAATTGTATCCTTAGATTTCGAGGGAGAAATTTTTTAATCGTTTGTTCCCTTCGCGAGATGTTTAGATTATGCAATTCTTGCTCGCAAAATCGTCAGATAAGAATGCCGAGCGTTGAGTTATATCGACGCAACTTGACAATCGTATATTAATATATGCGAAAAGTTTTTCGTGTTACGCTAAAGTAATTGTATCTTTAGATTTCGAGGGAGAAATTTTTTAATCGCTTGTTCCCTTCGCGAGATATTTAGATTATGCAATTCTTGCTCGCAGAATCGAAGCACTCTTTTCAGAATTTGTGTTTATATCTATATTACTTTACTAACGAAGTTACTTTAGCAACGAAGTTATATTACTTCGGTAACGAAGCAAGAAAGTTGCCAGAGTAGCAGACTTTGTAGACGGAGGGGATACAATTCGGTACATACTTTTCGGCTGGAAGTAAGTTTGTCCACTGTGATATCGCCATCCCATATCAGGAGCTTTGCATTGCAATCAGCGGCAGTGTCGATACTCGCAGCAGCTTCCACGCTAGCGGCGTAATATTTAACGAACGATAGCCAAACGATTTCATTCAGTTTCCCTTGGAAGTGGTACCGGCAAGTTGTATTCGGCGGCAAAGAGTGTTTCGGATTTTCCAGGATGCCCGACGAGTTCTCATCGCCGGATATATAAAAGTCGCAGTTGTCGTTTTCCTTCACGAAACTCCGAGACTTTTCGTCGACAAAGATCACCTGCACACGCGTCAACGTACACGCGTAAAAGGTATCGATAAATCGTCGGATATATTTAATTTTTACTTATATTTAAATCAAACACTTAACGTTTTAATGATCCACGAATATAGAAATAGCCGGGAATTACTATGTTTCGCGAATCGCAACTTTCGCGCTTTTGCAACAAACTTGTGGCGATATTACGCAACGAGATATTACGGCATCCGAGCATTACCTGAACTTCGAGCTCAAATCCTGGCAGGAAAGACAGTGGTACTGGATGAAACGGATTGTCGTACGGGGACGTGTGGAACTCTAGCAACATGGTATTGTGACTGCTGATGATGTCTGGCACCGCATCTCCTCCACACAGCCTTACAAGCACGCGGTCTGAAGTTGAACCTCCGTCGTATACTGTTAAGTAATCCTGCACGACGTTGCACTGATCCCACACCCTTGAAAAGCGCGCAAATTTCACTTGGAAAATCTATTCTCCACGTCATTGCGCGTGCACGTTATTTACACTCGTCCTCCTAACGCGTCTCCGTTTTTCATTTTTTTTTTTTCGAAAACCCTTCGTAAAGAGGCGCGCCCGCGAAATTACTGGCGGTACACTATTAATTCTACGAAATATATATTTGAACTTTCCGAATATGTTGACTTCATTAGCGTCGTTAACATGAGCGATTTACCTTAGCACTCGCTGACTCCTGTCGTACTTCACGACCTGGTCCTTAATGTGTATCTTGTGACTGTTTCTCTGACTAACGGCGAGCAGAGCCCGATGACCCACCGGCGCGCGGTTCTGCTCCACCCGATAGTAGCAAGTGACATTCCTGGGGTAAACTCCGGGATAATTTGGCGACTGCAGCCGGCAGGCTCTAGTATCGCACTTGGTGAGGACGCGATCGCAATACGTGCCGTTCACCAGCTCGCCGCGCCATGTGGACATACTGCTGTTTCCGTATCTGAGATGCGCCTCGCTTCTTCTCAGGAACTTGTACGACAGCTTGAAGTCGAAGTTGTAGCCGATACCCTGAGACACGGAAAAATTGCCCGCGATCGTAACGCGTCCGTACCTTTTTCACTCCGCGTTGAATATTCTCAGTTGGGAAACTTCTTTCAACATGTCCCGTCGCTGACGCGCCACGAAATTCTTTTACGGCAGGCGGACTTTTTCAGGACGATTCGCCAGTCGGGTTTAACTTCAATAAATTTATAATATAAGAAGCAGAACGATAGCGAGTAACAATGTCTCTCAATGCTCCCTCGAGGGAAAGGGCGACTTCAAATATCGTTTAAATTAAAATACCGCTGCGGAGCGAGTTTGATAAAAGTTCCATATTGCCGCGGCGAAATTACGGAGAATCAGATCGCGTATTCCCGCGAGCTAACGCAATTTCTTACCTGCTCTGATAAACGTAGTAAATATAAAGTCAGATTGATGGAAGGAGTTTCGCTGTAATAGACGGTGTAGCCCCACGCGCTGCCACACCATTGTCCTCCCGTCGCAGGACGACCTTCCTCGCGAATAGTCATGAAACCATCTGGACATCCTTCCGACGTAAAGGATAGAAAGCGGCCGACCGTGAAGGTATCAAAAGTTAACTGTAACACCAGGGAGAAAGAGGGGGGGCATTATTCTAAAAGTTATGAGCCAGCGAGGATCCGCGTGAGCAACTGGCTAACGATTTTTGTTGGGAATAAAACTAAAGATAAAAGTTGGAACACAGTTATTACGGGCCCATCGCGATAAAAGCAAATATTTCTACTATAATCTCGTTAATTATTACGCAACGTTATATTTTGGCTCGCGCAGTACCCAGAATCAATAAGAGCAAGTTTTAGCGCGAAAACTCGTATAATTCCTGTACTATCAAAATGTATGAAAAAAAGTTTTATAAATTCTACGACACGAACGTTAAACGTTTTTATAACACTTTTTAAATTTACGTAGAATTTCTTAGATTCTGGCAGTCGTATTTAATTATTTTGTGGAATTTTGTACAATTATTTCCAGCAGGGTACGAGTGCGTTTCGGCAAAACTTTCCGCTACAACCGTAGCCATTTTTCATAATTGACAGCAGTATTGCTAGGAACAATATGTCATTCATGAGCCAATCTTCAATATTTTCCATTCTATTCCCATACAGCACAGAAAGTTAAAATAATGTTGCTGAAACGTTGCAATGTTGAATGGTGAAGTACAAATATGTTTTCAACGTTGAATCTAAGTTAACTTTTGTACATTGTTTTTCTTTATGTTGCTGCAACGTTAAAACGATTGTGAACAAATTACTATTTTTTAATACTCAATTGCGATTCATTGCTATTATGTGTCTATTTGTTTTTTTTATAGAAAATGTCGGCATATCAAAGAAAACGTATATATTACAATTCAGCGGACATCCCTTACGGAAAACACGCTCAAGTTTTGAGTGTTAACACTCGATTGTTTGAATTTACTCTCAAATTTCAGCGTAAACACCCAGATTTAAATATTTACACCTAAATTTGAGAGTAAATTCGGATAATCGACTATTAACACTCGAAGCTTGAGTGTTTTTTCCGTACGAAATTAGATGTTTTAGCAATATTATTTCAACGTTAAATCTGTATTTCGTAACATTGAGGCAATATAACAATATTTTAATGAAACATCTCTGATGTTGATTCAACATTTGTGTGCTGTATGGGATTCGTTTCAATTAATTGGTAAACGCGACTCTCACAATTAAAATACAATTTTGAGATTATGCGTGCTAATGTAAGTATTGCGCCGCTACAATTGCGGCAAAGAAGCTGTGTAGCGCTACGGTAGCAGTGGGAACGCACTCGTTGTTTCGTAGAAACTTTAGAAAAATTTTTAACGCCTTTTAGCTCGCAAACATCGATTCTTAGGCGTGCCGAGGAAAGCTACTTGAAAGATTTAGACGCTTCCGGGCAATTTTGCGCCGTCATTTTTACGTTTTCATTGTCCCGAGATCCCCGTTCCCCATCCATCGTGAAAACTTTATTACTCTTGACCGCTACGATTGTACTCCGCTAACAACGTAAGTATCGATTCTATCATTGCGGAGAGATATAATAATCGGTGTGTCAATATCAATCGGGATCGAAAATATATATGCCCGACGGGGGGAACTTACGGAGCTCGGAATCAGGGATCTGTAGAGTAAGCGTATTCCGCGATGGCGGACGCGATGTTTACTCAGCGCGGGAGCTGATTTAATTTCGCCAATAAACGCGATAAGAATCGTAAAAGCGGGGATATAAATTATTATCCGGGCTCCGTGGCGGCGCGGCGGGTCCGGGGGTCGGCCCGCTTGTCTGTTCCATGACAGAGTCCCCCGCGCCGGCCGGGCACCAAGTCAGCATTATTTTCTACAACTACATCATTTCTATGTCCAACCTGGACTAGATCCCCGAGATCGGATCCGGCGGCAGTGAAGTTGAGGTGACACAGGAATGGCAGTCGATCCTCCCTTGGTCGGCGGATTTCCACCCTGTAGGTCCGGCCGACGTCACCGTACAACGTCCGATTGCAGGCTGAAACGTTCCGTTTGTTTGTCTCGCTTCCCTTTTGCGTCGCGCATTATGCAATTATTTACGCGGCGAGGTAAACGTCGTGGCAATCGCTTCCGCGTGTGTTATAATACGCGGCGCGGGGTGAAATAATACCGCGGGAGGAGTTTAACGCCTAACGCGCACGGTGTCCTGGCACGTCGGGGCGTGCAATGCCCCCGATTGCAGGCGGAAACGTTTCCGTTATGTCGCGGGCGCACCGCGAAAATATATTCTGGAATGTTTCAATATTCCATTACGATTGTACTTATAACACGGGGGTAAAATGTTACTTGAAACACAATACTAACTCTCCTAACTACTTTCGTGGTTTCGTATAACAAGCCGCGCCAAGTCCGACGGTAAACCGGAATGTTTTTATTGCGCAATTATTGCGGGCGAAAAATAAATCCTGGGGTATAATTATGGCGGATTACAACACGGCATAATAAAACATTATTTTATAAAATATAAAGTCCTAATTACTCTCTTCCTTTCTCTCTCTCTCTCTCTCTCCCTCTCCCTCGCACATCATGTGCATTCTGAATGTACGACTCTATATTTCGGTTAATCATTTATAAACATTTACAGGTTGCTGAAACTTACGCGTCTCATATTTTGGTATTTATATTTATCACTCGTGTATTTGTCCCTTTAATAGAAACGATTTTTAATGTAACGTTTAAGAAATTATGAATAGCGGACAGAACACATCAGCGCACTACCGCGTAAAAATTAATATAATGCTGATTTAATAACAATGCCGAGTGAAAATCTTGTATCGCGATATTTCGCGCATTCTTATTTTATGATTACTGGTAGCGCAAAGAGTATGTATACGTAATTATTCCACGTAATTAGCTCGTTTGGGCCCGCACATATTTTAATATGCAATTTGAAATTCTATGAAGGAATTGGATCATGAATGCTATAATAAATTCCTCCTATTATGTTACGTTTCTATTGAAATGTGTCGCATATATTATCGGAAATTAAAAATTCAAAGGGATGAAAATGCGATATTTGTGTAACATAATTATATTTGAGCTTTGCAAATCGATTAAATTTCGTATGAAGTGGTAATTATTATTATACCAATAATGAACGGACAAATTATTTACTTCGTTAAATTATTGAATAAAAATTATTTAATTGCGTGTGTGCAATTGCTATAATAATACGAGCCATATGTCGAAACAAGCACGGGGCTAATGACACATATTCTATGGATGAGTTTTATAATATGATACGCTTTTAATTTTTATATGAGTTGAGCTAAAATGATTATGTATAGAGCTAAATAATTACCAGCTCGGAACATTATCTGCTTGGATGAGCGAAAACTTTGTTTCTGGTTTAATGTACACTCAGTAATTCGTATTGTTTTGAGTATGCCGGATAAACAAGCGGTCACGCACGGCCCAAAATAATTGTAATTATTTTTCTGCCGCTCGATTACTATAAATACATTTTTCGCTTTATTTGCCCGCGGAATATTTAACTGTTTGCTCGATTAATCGCGTCCGAGACACGAGATATGCTGCCCGATAACAAACAAAAAGCTCTCAATTTTCAGAAATTGCGAAAATGTCGATCCATTTGTTGATGGCTGATGAACACGGTGATCCACTTGGTGTTTTTTTTTTCGCTTTCGGTGTATTGTTCAACGACCGTACATAAATTTAAATTTAACATGGGAACCGTGACAAAACGAGCTCTCCAAAGAAACAATCGATTGAAAACAATTATCACTCTTTTTCCGAATTAATCGCCTAATAAAAGATGACTTCGGGAAGAAGAGGGGGAGGAGGGTGAGACAGAGCGAGATGCCCCGGCGTATCGATTCGGCCCCGGCGCGCGGCGACTTGCTTTGTTCGACGTCTCCGTTGGTTCGCGCGGGGGAGGGTAGGTACTCACGGGTGCAATATCTCGGCTCGTCAGACTTGTCGTCGCAGTCATTCTCGCCGTCGCAGTACTTGTCCTGCGCGACGCAATGTCCGGTGGTGCCGCATTGGAACTCGGACGGCCGGCAGAGCGGCTCGGCGTTGCTGGCCGCGGGCTCGGACGTCGGGCCGGACGTGGACGAGCTCGGCGACGACGAGGACTCGGGTGACGTCGCGCCGGAGTAAACCGCGTATCCGCTCGGGTATCCGGAGTAGTCCGATGACGAAATGCCGGGGTGGTAACTAGCCGAGCCAGCCTCGATCGCGGCCGCAATCGCGGCTGCGATCAGCAGCAACCGCCGACACACCAACATGCCCCCTCACCCTGAAAATAAATTCAATTTCGCAAAGTTGAGCGAACTCCTTGCAACCGTGTATTATACATAAGGCGGCCAGATGCATTGTATTTTAATATTACTTTCGTCGCTCAATCGCGTAAGGTTCGACGCGAAATGACAAATTTTCTAGCGCACGTAGAGGACCGAATTTCTTTCTCAAACCTGCGGTTTGAGACTTTGAATTGTCCCCCCATACGTCGGGAGGAATGTTGAATTCACTTGGACAAATCAACCGGTCGAAGTTGTTCCGCTCAAGAAGTCAAATAAGATTGAAAGTATTTTGTCAAGTTACCTGTGTAGGCACTGAAAAGTACTAAGTCTAGAAAAATTCTATTCTAACACGCGGTATCGATATCATTCGAAGCGGGCCTCAGTTTTGTTAATAAATAGCATTAAATATAATATCTGCAATTGATTTATAATACAGCTTGCGAACTTCTAATATTAGTTTGCACCAGATATCCACGGCTTCTCCGATAGTGGTGGTAGTTCCGCAAGTTCTTATCTAAAGAGAGTCCACGGACAATGGAGTCCTAAGGGCTCTACAAATTGTCAATAAATGGCAGGAACTATCGGGCTCTATCGAGAAAGGGAAAGTTTCTTATTTAGCTTTCATTCTAAGGAAGATAATCCGCGCATAAAAGAAACAGTACGTTTTTAGTCCTTTCGGTCGCCGGTCGCAGCGGCGCAAGAAGAAGCGACACAATTCAAAATCTCGAACAAGTAAATTGATACTGGGGAAAGGACCCGGGAAAGGTCTTGGCGAGACCTTGGATATATTCATTGGTTCGAGGAAATATATCTTCTTAAAAAGAACCGAATAAATAGACGTAATATTTCACGGGCTTGCAGGTGTTGCTCCAGCCTGTTCTTCGTAACACTTTTTAGTGACGGCTCTCTTACACAGCGAAGCCCTTCTCTTTCGTGGTCACATTTTTCTTCCTCCGCGCGTGTGTGCGTCCCTCTTGTTGCTTCACAATTTCGCGCCGGGCTCCTCCGTCATGTAATTATACCTTGATAAAGCGAATAATATTTGTTTTTCCCCCGTCGCGTTCCATCAGGCATCGTTTCAATTCTCCGCGCGGTTTCGCCAAGTCAGATTTGTCAGCAGTTTGCAAAGCTGCTATAGCGAATTCGGCAGCTCGCACTAGTGCACACCGAGGCTTGTTCAGAGTCTAACTCTTACATTTGTGGTCGTCCCAGGTCCAAAAGTTACTCTCTAAAAGTCAATCGGTGCATTATCACCGAAAACAGCTACAAGTATATTGTAACTGAATACTTGCAACGGTGAATCAGTGAATGTTCGCTGTTTTCAGTGACAATCCACCTATTGACTCCAAATTTCCAATTTTCATCATCGTTTCTTGACTAATATCTTACTAACATGAGATCATTAACAATTGTGTGAACAGATTACTAGAAAAGGGTCCGAATCTGGGACCGAAACGTCGTTTTTTTTAAAATAAAAACATTGGCCGGTGTAGGTCGTTTTAAAAAAACTACATATCACCAAATTTTACTTTCTATCGTTTTAAAACGCAGAACCATTTCCAAAATCGATTGAGAACTCAAGGACTCCTCAGGGGGCTTCAATTTCTTTTTTGACAAATTTTGAAAGTGAGGGGCCAGCTTCGCGGACGTTCATTTTGCTGGCTAGGAAGTACTTCGAAAGTCGTTCGAGACGATCCTTCAATATAAGAATTGACCGTAAACAGGCCTCAGTGCGCACTCAGTGCGCGCTGCCGAGTTCGCTATTACTTTCCCCGATATTAATACATGAAAATATCACTTTTCCCGGTGCCTCGCCCCCGCGCAGTCGGCTCGACGATCAATGACTCGCCCGATTGCATGCGAATAAAGCGCTTCTTCGCTTTATCTCCGGGGCCCGCGCTTTCTCTGTGTCACAGGGGGATGTTGGCGCGGGATGCGCATCATCAACCACATTCGTTCACTCGATTTAAAATCTTTCCCTCCGCGCGCGCGCGCTCCATCTCTCTTACAACTGGACCCTTCACTTTTTACGGAGCTTTATTATTCGTCCCGCTCGAGGCCCTACCTTTCGCAAAGTCGTTTACCATCGCTCAGACGCGATTCGGCGATTTGTTACCCCCGAAAACGCCCAGCGTCCCTCCCTCCTGCCCCCCCTTTTTTTTTCCTCCGCGTCGCGCGCTTTGACAAATTCTCGCGATAAACGCGCCACGGCGTGGAGCGCGTAACAGCGCGCGCGCGCTCGCCTCGCGCGCTCTTTGATTAACGCGAGCAAATTTCATTCGCTTTGACGCGCGGGACGCACGCGAAAACGTAAAATGAATACCGGGCTTTAACTCGTTAAGACACCAAATGCAACTCGGTCGGTGATTCGCGCGGAGTGTTTAGAGAAGAGGAGCCGGATTATGCTAATTCTATTCAGAAAACTAACTCCTCTTACGTGAATGGACTCGGCAGTTCACTCCCCCCCCCCCCCCGAACAAATACCGCGGATCTATTAATTCGCACGAGCGGGGGCGGGGGAGGGGAACAACTCGTGCGGATCGATACCGCGCGAGTGTTCGTAACAAAGTTCCGCCCGTCCTTATCCGCGGAAACTTGATAACACAACGTACGCTTAGAAAGCAAATGCGGCGCCGCCCGTACTCGTGTTATCCCGTCTTTTTAACCCCGTGGCGCGGTGTACAACACCCCCTCCCTCCCGCCCCCAGCAACCCGTGCAAAACCCATCGGCCCTCGCGTGAATAATATCCATGCTAATGCAACGTCGTCGCGAAAACGTCAGCGCTAACGAGCGACACGGCGGGGCCGCGCGGCGCGCGAAGGAACGCGGAATAAAAATCTGATTTCACCAACAGCCCCCCCAAGAGTAAAAATAGAGTCGGACGTTGAGCGACTACGCGGAGACCACCGGCTCGGGCGACCAGGGGGCGGTGTGGGGCGGTGTGGGGCGGCGGGAGGGGTGAGAGTGGAATCCGCAATAAAAGATAACTGGATTCAAGTGCGGAGACTGCGTTGCACACGCGCGCGACAGTAAAGGCTCTGTTTATTAAGCAGAAAGAGAGAGAGAGAGAGAGAGAAACGGAATCTGGGCCAAGCCCACGGGAACGTGTAGCGCACGGGCAGGAATATGGTAATTCGCCCGGCGGGACGGGGGTGGCTGGCGCTCTGCCTCACTTCGCAAATATACACGCGCCCGCTACGAGTGTCACTGAAATTGCACGCGCGTGAAGCTCACGCCGCGGCAGCGCGGTTCGTACTTGCGGAAAAACAGTCCGCGCCGATCGGTTACATTAAATTGCGTCACGTACCCGGAATATTGCAAAAATATGTTATACGTTTCACGCTGGGAATATTAAAAGGCGCGCGGGGGGGGGCGGGGAGGGGAGGGGTGAGAAACATCGTGCATCACCGTCGAATAATCTAATAGTTATTCCGGAGATTGCGCGCGATTGCTTACAATCGAAAATTTTCATATAGAAACGCCTTCGTGTCTGTAATAGTTTGCGGCGTAAAGTTGTCCGATGGTACCGGATATAATTTGCGCAAGCGGGCATAATTGCGCTTGCAAATGTGTAGATCTGTCGTTTCCCTGCCGGAAATAATTCTTTAAATTCTACGAAATTATGAAATGTAACTGCCAGAATCTAAGAAATTCTACGTTAAAGAAAGTGTTATAAAAATCAACATAAAAATGCTAGAGTTGGAACACTTTTGTTAATTTTTGTAATAATCTACAAGTAAGCAGGTGATTCAATTTCTTAAGAGGTTGTTTCTCAAATTTTTTAAACTATTAAAGTTTTGTACTAATTTTTATAAAGTTGTACATTTTCGTGAAATACTACTCCGCAATAATTTCTTGATTGGAGAACATTGTAATTTGTGGTACTGTTTCGTAGATATTTTTACAAAAAGATAAATGTTTCAACGAAGATATAAAAACTTGTACAAATTTCTATTTCAAGTCAATTTTTGTAGTTATTTCTAGAAATTTTTTCCGCTAGGGCCGGCCGAAAATAATTCTACAAAATTCTACAAAACTATAAAACATGACTGCCAGAATCTAAGAAATTCTACGTAGATTTAAAAAATGTTATAAAAATTAACATGAATACGACGACAAGAAATTTGACAGTAAAGTTTTCGTTCAATTGCTACTTTCAAATGTTTAATACGTCACATAAGTGTGAAGTTGACAGCAGATCGAATTCGTACGTAAAGCGCGCGAATGTTTAAAAACGGGACGAACTTATGCATCAACCCAATATACAATAATCCCCTTCACTATTGCCGATTTTTCTATCAAATGTAAAAAGATATCGTTCATATTTAATTTCAATCAATCTCATATCAAATGTGTACTTATGCTTCGTGGCATGATTGACGAAACCTCGTGGAATGATCGAGACTTTGTGGCACTTTGTATGACACCTCAGTATTTTATTAATCACACGCGACAAGAAAGAAAACACGAAAAATCTACGATTGCACGAAGTTACTATTTGCACTCGGTACTTATTCCTTGTAAATTTATTCGATGTACGAAGATCGCCTTATCAAATTAAATTTTTCGATGAGTAAATATTATAATAATATAATTAAGCACGGGTAAGATTAATGATATTTAATTCTTCAATTTAACGTATCGCGATGATATTCGACTCAAAGTTTCGCATTCTAACCAGCATTTGTATGATTCTGTTAAAAGAAAAATTGTAAGATTATACATTTCCGTCAGTGAACGAAAAACTTGAAGATTATACATTTCGACACAGCAAAATAAATGCAACTGAGTTAACGATTAATCGAGACACAATCGTCCGAAAATAATTAAAAATTCAATGTCGCGTATTTTCATTTATAAATTCCGTAAAAAAGATATAAAGTAGTATTAATAAGTTACCGATAAATGTTAGTTAACGCACTCGATACGATATTTCGTGATGTATTATTTCGCGTTTTCAGCCAACAAATTAAACTCGAAGCTACGAGAGACTCACTGCGATGATACTGTGTCCGAGAATCATTTTACTCTTGATATTTGTAACGTCTGCGTGGAGAAAATCCAAGAGAAATTGAGCAGCGAAAATTATTATCTAAGCTGCGAAAGTTACTGATGAACTTACTTTAATTTTCGGGAAAGCACTTTGATACATGTTTCTTATAATTACTTTAATGACTCGAAAATTACGCGATCTTAATGAATGAAAGAATAAAATTGCGAAGAATCGCTTTTATTTGTCAAAATCACGCGATTTTCTTTCCGGGCGTGAAAAATGGAAAGAAGACTAACGAAACGTCAATTTTCTTTCTTCGATCTTATGAAAAGAAGACAATTTTACTCTTGATATTTGATTGTAACGTCTGCATGAAGAAAATCCCAGAGAAATTGAGCAGCGAAAATTATTATTATCTAAGCTGCGGAAGTTACTGATGAACTTACTTTTATTTTCGGGAAAGCACTTTGATACACGTTTATTATAATTATTTTAATGACCCGAAAATTACGCGATCTTAATGAATCAAAAAATAAAATTACGAAGAATCGCTTTTATTTTTTAAAATCGCGCGATTTGCTTTTCGGGCGCGAAAAATCGAAAGAAGGTTAACGAAAAATCAATTTTTTTCGTTCTTATAAAAAGTAGGCAATTTTACGCTTAAAAATTGAATTTAATATTCTTTCTTAAGCAGAAAATTAACTGACCGGTCGCATTTCAATTAAAGGATTATACAATTTGCATCTAACAGACAAAACTTGCCGTTAGTAATACATATTCTTAACAATTATAACATAACGTCTGCGTGGAGAAAATCCAAGAGAAATTGAGCAGCGAAAATTATTATTATCTAAGCTGCGAAAGTTACTGATGAACTTACTTTTATTTTCGGGAAAGCACTTTGATACACGTTTATTATAATTATTTTAATGACCCGAAAATTACGCGATCTTAATGAATCAAAGAATAAAATTACGAAGAATCGCTTTTATTTTTTAAAATCACGCGATTTGCTTTTCGGGCGCGAAAAATCGAAAGAAGGCTAACAAAAAAATCAATTTTTGTCGTTCTTATAAAAAGTAGGCAATTTTACGCTTAAAAATTGAATTTAATATTCTTTCTTAAGCAGAAAATTAACTGACCGGTCGCATTTCAATTAAAGGATTATACAACTTGCATCTAACAGACAAAACCTGTCGTTAGTAATACTTGATGTTAACGATTATAATTGCCTTCTTCTCATAAGATCGAAGAAAGAAAATTGACTTTTCGTTAGTCCTCTTTCGATTTTTCACGCCCGGAAAGAAAATCGCGTGATTTTAACAAGTAAAAGCGATTCTTCGCACTTTTTTTCTTTGATTCATTAAGATCGCGTAATTTTCGAGTCATTGAAGTAATTATAAGAAACACGTATCAAAGTGCTTTCCCGAAAATAAAAGTATGTTCATTCTTCAAATAAACGTTGGAGCTGCTGCATCATAATGTTCGTCAAAATTGATTTGAAATATAACAGACAGCGTATATTAATACTTTTATTTTATAAAGTCCACTTTAAAACGACCCATAATACATAACGATAGATATATCCATAATTCGTGTCAGATTTCAAAATATAATTGAATCTAATTTGAAGATACTGGGTCATCCCATAAATAATAAAGGCGAGCTTAATTTATTCCTTAGCCCGAAAAGCTGTTATCGGTAGAAAATAAAAAAATTCAATAACAAAATGAGCACGGCGTGTGAATAACGACGGAAAATATATTTCAGGTTAAAATTAAAACGTCAATTTTTCTACTTCGTTCAAAACAAATATCTGTAAAAGGCTGCCCTATTTATACAATGACCCAATAGATAAAATCTACAGATGCAACCTTACCTGTCGCACATTCCGATGCACATATTATCGACGAAACACACTTCAACGTCGTTTATTCCGAATGTTTGTCGTGTTTCAAACGAGACGCAAAACACAGAGAGCAAGAGAGAGAGAGAGGGAGATCACAGATTACAGAATTCTATTTCGAATCCCGATCCGTTGTCGTCTAAAAAGTGAGCCCCGGCTCTGGGATTCTGGACGAGGCGAATGTGCAAACACACGCGAAGCAGTCCGCGTTAAACGACCGCGCACACCGCCGGCCTGTTAAATATTTCGCCGTATCGAATACGTTAACTATCTCCCCGACGTTAGCCGGCGAGCGGCCGACCGGCAACTGCGAAGCCGCGCGGCGCGCGGGAGTGGGGGGGGCGACAGGTCGGCAGTTGTTTCTGTGACGCGCGGCGCGCGACCGTTGTACCGGTCGTACGCGGTCGTACGCGGTGTTGCCGTGCACGGCGCGCGCCCGGGCGTCATTTCATTCCTCGAGACGCGCTCGCGGCGGCAGCCTCGCGGACCACGGCTCGTCGTTCCCGACGATTCTAATTAGCAATTACCATAGGCGTGACGTATCCGGACCGAGCGTCGAGGCAGCGGAGGGTAGAGAGGCGCTCGCGCGAGCGAGAGAGAACGCACCGGCACGTAGCGGAGTTTCCTTTCTACGCGAATCTCCACCTCCCCCTCTCCCCGCCGCTGCTCAAGTAGAGGCGAACGCCCGGTCTAGATGTTACATTATGCCTGTGGCGATTACTGTATCCCGTGCACGATATCACAGGTAACCCCCCTCCCCCCCCCCCTCGCCCGCGGACGGCTCTTCGTCGCGCGGCGGTTAAGGCCTTTGCACGTGAAAAAGCGTAAACCCAGTGAGAAATGATTCGTCGATCGACGTCGAATCGACATCGACACCGTCGAATTGACGTCGATTCGACATCATTTCGACGTCGATCGACGAATCATTTCTCCCTGGGAACCGTTACCGTAGTTTTCAATCGTAGTTTAGGATCGCAGGCGAAGTAGAAATAACAAAGTTTTTTTCGCGATCGCGTCACTCGGTTTTTGTCGCGCGTGCCGTTGTACAACGTACACACAAGGTCGCCGCGCGTCGTACGCGGCACTCGGGCATTCTATGTCGCGCGTTCGCGGCGTCAACAGCGAGGAGAGTAACTCGCGCGTCGTTTCCCCCCCCCCCCCCGATTACCGTCCCGCGCGATCACAGGCAGCTTTCGCCATCGGACGACTCTTCTTCGTCGCTCGGCGGACATCGCGCGGTTCGTTCAGAGGGAGGGGGAGGGGGAAAGTAGGAATTAACTAGAGACCCCGCGAGCGGGAGGGAAACGTGCGCCATCCTCGCTCTTCCGCGATCGGATTTCAGAGGCTACGCGGTTACCCGCTTCGTCTCGGCTCGCATCGTACGCTCTTCAGGTCGGTTTCCGCGCGGTTCTTCGCCCCCTTCGTGCATTCGCGCACAATTAACAAGTCGGTCGCCTCGGGAATGTACGTACGTCGCGACGTAGCACGATCGCGCATACTTTTCGAACGCGTCCGTTGGCGCCGCCGCGCGGGTGAGGTCCACGGGGGGGTTGCCGACACTGGTCCGTTACCCGAAAGTCCGCGGGGCGTCCGCGTCGCGATCGGCTCGGCGATTAGGCCTCGAGATATCTGTCGAGCAAATCCGGGGCGGTTTCGCGCGGCGTTCTAGAAGATTCTCTCCGCCGGGGGACGCGAGCCGTCGCGGGGGCGTTGGGCGAGTCGCGCGTCTCTTCGCGCCGGGGAATTGGTGCGCGCGGCTAACCGTCGCGAGTGCCGCGAGTGTAGCGCGAAGTCCCGCAAGTGTAGCGCGCCGTACCGTACTTTGGTGCGCGGACGAAGCCGGCGCGCGCGTAATTAATCGCGTTCTCGCGAGCGAGTGAGCGAGTGAGCGCCACAAAGGAGCAGCGAGGATACCGAGAGGAGGCGGAGGCGCCTGGGCGGCGTCGGGCGACGGCGGAGCAACGATGGGGTGAGTTAGCCGCGTTATTCGTTGTATTATTTGCACGTTATTCGGCGTCGAGACTCGACCGCCTGTCCCCGCGCATTTCGGCGATTGCGCGCGATTGCGCGGCCGGAGGTGCCCGTCTCGCTCGTGGACTTTCGCCGGAATTTTTGTTGCGCCTCCGGCGAAAACGGGACGTCGATTCGAGACTAAACGGAGGGTAAGTCTCCGATTACGAGACGGGCGCCTAATATGAGACAGCGGAGTGTTTTTTCAACGCTTATTTTCTCAGACAGGAAAAAAGTACTCGGAGAGACGCACATTCTCTCTCTCTCTCTCTCTCTCTCGCGCGCGCGCGCTTTCTTCCGTTTGCGAAAATTACACAATGATTAGATTGTTAAAATAGTTTTACGCTCGGGAGACAAAAGTGTGTCGAACGTAGATCGCGCGCGATAATTATTATTTGAAATGACGACATCGATCGCTGATGTAATGTACGTATTTGTGTTCTTTTGCAGGTTGACACGCGATTACAAACTCCGCCCCAGCACTGGTGAGTGAATTACCTCTTATTTTAATCTGAGGTAATGGATCCGCGAATATTACGGTTGAAATGTAACAGCTCACAGATCCACTGCCTTAAAATGGATGAACTGGGACGTATTAGTGTAATATTTGACCCTCGGTACGCAACCATCCGCCGATCCACGCACACGCGCACACACACACACACCGCCGTGTGCAAACGTACAGAGCTCATAAAACAGAGCTCTCATCGCTATTATCAATGCGTGATTAGCCGGTCGGGCCATTTACCGACGCATTCCGGTATCTTGTTATGCGCCGGCCGTAGCAGTCGCTCGGTAATTAGCGCGCAGTAATTACACAAGGTGGACGAGTCGCTTGAAATTTATCGCGATTTTAAACTCGCGGGCCGACCGAGCGAACCGAAAGCGATAGGGTGTTCTTTTTTACAGGTGAAGCTGTTCTCGGTGAAAAGCGAGAACGAGAACGACGGAGTGAGTTTCACGAAAAGAGGGAATCTTTGAGTCGTCAGGGTGTTATTGTGTCCTTAGAGTTTTTAACGGGCGCTCTACGAATACTCGCTGAAAGTCAATCAGCGGATTATCATGGAAAACGGTGAACAGTCTCTGATTTACAGTTGTAAGTGCACCGCAAGGTGGAAGTCGGTGACTGTTCGCTGTTTTCCGTGATAATCCACCGATTGACTTTAGAGAGTGGGCTTTCGTGAAAGACCTTTGAGGGGATTTCATAGAAAAAGGTACATTAAGACGAGGGGGAAACCGCCGACCGAAATCTTGTACACCAATGCCCACTAATTCCCAGTGGACGTTTACTTTATTTTACTTTATCGTGTTTCTCTTATTTGGTCTTATTTTATCTTATTATATCTTTATAATGCCCCACGCAAGGGCTAAGGCCTAAACTAATGCCCAAAAAATGTAGTAATGCCGCAAATCTGTACACCGTAATGCACTCGGCGGTTTTTCCCCTCGCATTAAGATGAATTTAGCACATTTTATATAATTGCTCAAAAACTTTCAACCAAAGTAGCGGAGTATATACTTAAAGTCACCAGTGATGAATAAAAATGGAAACACAGCTTCTTGTTGATCCAACAAAAGTATTTTCATATTACAAGCATATATTTTTCATTTCACGGAGGTTCTAGCTCTCTCTTTTTTATTACTAGTCTAAATTTGAAAGCTTTTAATTGAAACAAAGCTTCTTGTTGACCCAACAAAAGTATTTTTATACTACAAGCATATACATATTTTTTATTCC